AGCTCCCCACCCCAGCTTACCTCTGCTCCGCCTCCTCCCCGAGCACACCGCCCCCGCTCTAATTCTCCTCCCCTCCCAGGCTTGCGATGCCAAACAGCTGATTGGCGCTGCAAGCCTGGGAGACGGGAGAAGTGGAGCGGCGACTGCACGCTCGGAGAGGGGGCGTAGGAACGCTGTAAAAAAAAATTGGGGGCACCACTTTTTGGCGCCCCCAAATCTTGGCGCCCTAGGCAACCGCCTAGTTTGCCTTAATGGTAGCACCGGCCCTGATCTTTGTGTGTACAAGTGATATATACCACATTAGCAAAACTATTTGTGCTCACAAATGGGGATAAAATTGGTGGTTTGTTCACAGTACTAGTAGTGCACAAAACCTTCTGCATAGAGAGAAGCAGCACACTTTGCATTTTTGGCCTGTATTATTCAACACACAACTCTGGACATGTAGCTTTTGAGTCACTGCCATTTGTTATGCTGATTCATACCTAATATTATATCAATCAATATGGATAGTGTTTCAATACAGATATGCACATTTTAAATTATCATGAGAAAATATCTGTACAGTAATTATTTTAATCTCCTGGGTACCAAACTCCTTTTTGCCCTTGTTTTTTGACTAGCAAAAAGACCTCATCCAAATTGTAAAAGACAGGATTACCCTAACTTTTTCCCCATTACATTTTGTGTTAGGTTTGCCTGCATTTTCCAGGAAGAGGTCAGAACCTCCAGTGAGACTGCCCTCAGCTGCACCTGCTCAGTGCTCCTAATGCCCTACTGAGCCAGCCAGGCTACCTGATGGACCATCCTGCCTGATTGGCTGAGGAATCCTGCAGGCTGGTTCTGAAATCTAGCAGCAGTAGCTCACTGGCTGCTCAATGCCCACACCCACAGACTGTCTCCCCATTCTTGTCTCTCCAAGCCCTGCTCCTGCTCTGCTCCTCCACAGCTCCAGCCCAAGGCTGGGTGCAGGACAAGTTCTGTTCCCATCCTGTTCCAGCCTCACTCCTGCCTCAGAAGAGAAGGTTATTCACCTTGTGAAGTAACTGAGGTTCTTTGAGATGGTTGTCCCTGTGGGTGCTCCACTTTAGGTGTGTCCATGTGCCCTCATTTGCAATCGGAAATTTATAGTAGCAGTGCCTGGTTAGGTCATGCATGTGCTGTTGCTGTCTCGTGCCGCCTCAGTTGTTCTCTACCACAGAAAATCTAGCATGAAACTCCAAAGCAAAGGGGAGGAGAGAGGGTAGTGAAGCACCCATAGGGACAACCATCTCAAAGAACCTCAGTTACTGCATGGGGTGAGTAACCTTCTCTTCTTCTTTGAGGAGTGTCCCTGTGGGCGTTCCATTTTAGGTGATTGTTGAGCAGTGCCCCTCAATGGAAGGGAGGGGCTTTGGAGTTGTGTTCGTGATTGACTGTGAGTCCAAATAGAATGTCCAATGATGACTGTTGATGTAGCCAATAGGCAGACCATGAGCCAAATCCGGCCCGCCAGATGCTTTAGAACAGACCCCGAAATCTTTTCATTTACTTATTATCATTATTGTTAGGTTTTTTTATTATTATTTTCTCTGGAGGCTGGACCTTGACGATATCTTTGGCCAAGAAATTTGGACCTTAACAAAAAATAATTGACTATAATTGACTACCCCTGCTCTATAGCATAGTGCTTTGTGAATGTGTGGGCAGATGCCCAAGTTGCTGCTCTGCAAATGTCCATAATGGGGACATTATTGAGAAAGGCTATGGATGTTGAAAGTGCTCTGGTAGAGTGTGTGCGGGCTCCCAATGGGGCTTGTAACTGACATTTTTGATAACACAAGTGGATGCATCCTGATATCCATTTGGATATTCTCTGTTTTGAGATGATGGCTTCCCCTTTTGATCGTTCTGTTATAGAGACAAATAGTTTAGGTGATTTTTCTAAACGTTTTTGTTCTTGCAATGTAGAAGGCTAATGCTCTTCAGACGTCCAGGGTGTGGAGTGATGCCTCTCTTTTGTCTGCATGTGGTTTTGGAAAAAATGCAGGTAAGTAAATGGGTTGGTTTAAATGAAAAGAAGGGGGAACTTGCAGTAAGAATTTGGGGTATGGTCTTAGGGTAACTTTATCTTTTAAAGAAAGTTGCGTATGGAGGGTGTGCTATTAGGGCACCTAGTTCTCCCACACGTCTAGCAGACCTAATGGCGATGAGGAAAGCCATCTTCATAGATAGATGGAGTAATGAACACTTGGCCAGAGGTTCAAACAGGGTTTCTGTAAGTCCACGTAAGACCAGGTTGAGGTCCCACATAGGAGTTGCGGTCCTTATTTCAGGGTAAGTGTTCTTAATGCCTTTGAGGTAACGTTTGGTTGTTGGGTGGGCAAATATGGTGACCCCATCCACCTTATTGTGGAAAGCCGTGATAGCTGCAAGGTGTATCTTGACAGAGATTGTGGAGAGTCCCAGTTTTTTAGTTCTAATATGTAATCCAATACTCTTGGTAAAGGAGAGGATGTTGGTATGATTTGTTTGCTCTGGCACCATATGCTGAACCCTTTCCATTTAGGAGTATATGTCTTTCTTGTATTTGATCTATGGCTGTTCAATAAGAGGTCTTTTACTTCCTCCGAGCAGGTTGTTTCATTTTCTCTCAGCCATGGAGTAGCCATGCCTTGAGGTTGGGTTGGTGGATGTGTCCACATTTTGGGAGAAGAGATGAGGTATTAGAGGAAGATTTTGAGGTGGGCATGCCACTATCTTTAATAGGTAAGGGAACCATGTTTGCCTGGGCCATGTAGGTACTATTAGGATGACTTCTGATCTGTCCCTCCTGATCTTATGTATGACCTGGTTAGGAGTGGGGTCGGAGGAAATGCTACTCCTGGGGGAATTCTGCGCCACTGCACATGCGCAGAATTTATCTCCTGCAGATTTCTTTGCTTCTCCGCAGAAAAATGACTTTCTGATGGGGAAGCAAAGGGAAGCCGCAAGAGCAGTCATATGACCCTTTCCAGCAGTATGTTTTGAGTGCCCAGGGCAGCTGGCAGAGAGGTAAATCACTGTGGGCCAGGGAGCAGGACTGGGGAAGACCCAGCTTGTGGCTCCTTCCCTGCGCCAGGCTCAGCTGCTCGTCCCAGCTGGGCTGGGGAGGACGGGACTTCCTCTTCCCCTGCACGGCATCCAGGGCCATGTCAGATCCACCTCCAGATTTCTCACCCAGCTGTAGGAAGCTCTGCAAACTCCACACTCCTCCCCCCCCGCCCCGCCGCTTCCTGCATCCATCGCTCCTCAGCTGCAGGCGGAGGGATCCCTGTACAGGGAGCTGCTCCCCCATCTGCCCAACCCCCATGCATCCAGACCCCCTCATACCCAGACATCTGGACCCCCCACTGAGCCCTCCACACCCAGATTTTCTGGCCGAGCTCTATCCCCACTACACCTAGACACCCCCCCACACTGAGCCCCTTCCACCTTCACCTGGACCCTCCTGTAGCGTCCCATTACCATTGCACCCAGAACCCACAACAAGCCCCGTGCATCCAGATCTCCCCCGCACCCAGATCCCCCACTGAACTGCCCGCACCCAGATTGACCCACACAGAACCCTCTCAACCCACAAATGTCGAAGGTTGGGTTGGGATTTGTTGTTATCTGGTTTGTCTTTGCCTGTGTGGCTGTGTGTATGGTGGTGACCTGAATCTCTGCATATAATACCTGCCCTGTTTCTTATTTGCTGGTGTATAGCTGTCCAGGGATTTTAGTGTTGCCCTTGAATCTTTCAGGATACGAAGGGACTCATCTGTTTTGGCTGCAAATAGTTTTGGGTCTTCAAAGGGCAGGTCCTTGACCTTTACCTGCACCTCTCTCAGGAACCCCGAGAGAGGGAACCATGATGCATGGCTCATGATCACCGATATTGCAACGGAGCCTGCTGCCATATCTGCGGAGTCAAGTGAGGCCTGCAGTGCTGTCCTGGCAGTGAGATTACTGAAGGTCATGTTACCAGTGTAGGTACCGCAGATGGTGCCAATGCGTTGCTTGGTACCGAGTGTCTCTTCAGCTCCATCAGTACCGAGGCAGAGGGTTTTACTTTGCCCTTTGAGCCTCTGGCAGAGCTTGCCTGCTTAGGGTCTTTTGCTCTCTGGGTACTCATGGTACTGGATGGTCCTGGTGTCTTGGAGTCTGACGTACCCGGCGCTGTCGGTACCAATGTGGTCTCGGCAGTAGGGGAGTGCTTTTTCTTAGCCGATTCCCACGGAGGTGAAGTCTGAGCCCACTTTTTTGTAGCCTTCCTGGGAAAAGGCTCTTTAGTAGGAGCTGTTGTGGCAGAACCTTTATCACAGGCTGCCAATGGCAAAGGGAGTCCTTGACTTGGGATCTGAGGCTGGTCGCAGAGATTCTTCCATCATAAGTAGCATAAGTTATAGATCCTTCGCTTTCCTTGTTCTGGCCTTTAGATTATGGCAATGCGAGCACTTCTGAGGTATGTCTCACCAAGACAGCAGGATACACTGTGCATGTCCATCAGAAATAGGGATTGACAACCTGCACGTCAGACAGCATTTGAATCCCGGAGAGCTGGGCATGCCAGAGAATCTTCTGTCCCAGAATGAGAGGGGGGAACAGTAAAACTATAGAAAACTTAAACTTATTGTCCTAATAAGGGAGATAAGGATAGAATATTTTTTTTAAAATAAAATAAGTAGGAAGGGTGAGAATAAATAACTTCCTAATTGCTAACTTAAGTTTTACCTATAAAGTTATTTTATACTAAAAAAAAGTAAGAGGCGCTGCTAAGTGCTCCGACTCAAGCCAAAGGCGGTAGAGAAGGAACTGACGGATGCTTGGTCATGCAGCACTATGTAACCTCCTGAGGGGGCACAAGAGGCACTGGTGCATGTGCAATCCAACCAGGCACTGCTACTACAAATCTCCGATTGCAAGAGCAGGGCGCATGGACAGCTAAAGTGGAGCACACACAGGGACATTCCTCAAAGAAGAACCAGCCTTGCTCCTGCCTTCCCTGACTCCTGGTAATCCGGCTCCGACCCTCCGCTCTGACTCTTGACTCCACCTCAACCCTTGGCTCTGGCATTCGGACTCCGACTTCGGTCCCGACTACTGGCTCTGATTCCTGACTTTGACTCTGTCTCGACTCTTGGCTTTGGTGTTCGAACTCCAATCAGTAGGCCTCACTCCCTAGTCCCACTCTGACCCCTAGGCCTGACTGCCTATGACTTGGTCCACTGACAGAGGCCAACCTTACGGGCTGAGAAACACAGTTGTATGTTAAGAAAGACTGAGCTGGATCAGAACTTAAATTGAAGACCTTCATGGAGTGAGAAGGGTGTTGATGGAACACCATGTTGCAGCCTCTATTTCCTCTCAATCTGCTTGATTGCTCTTCTCCCTCCTCTTTTCATCCTTTAATATTTATTACATTTGTCTAATTCCTCTATACCAGGGGTTTGCAAACTTCATTGAACCATGACCCCCTTCTGACAACAAATTAGTTCACGACCCCAAGAGGGGGGGACCGAAGCCTGAGCCCGCCCAAGCCCCAGTGCCCTGCAGGGGGTCTGCAACCTGAGCCCTGACGCCCAGGGCTGAAGCCCTCAGACTTTGGCTTCAGCCTTGGGCAGTTGGGCTCGGGGTTCAGCCCCAGGCCCCAGCAAGTCTAAGCCAGCACTGGTGACCCCATTCAAAGGGGGTCGCAATCCCCTTTGGGGTCCTGACCCACAGTTTGAGAACTGCTGCTCTGTACCTATCTTTAAATACAAAGGCAGGTTTAGAGAAAAAGTATACATTTTTGTTATGTTAGAGATTTTAATTAATCAAGGAAATTCAGTGTTAACATTCTGATAGCAACAATTAATTCTACCCCTTTGGAAATTTGAATTAAAACAGGGAGCCTCTCAGGTACACAAGATTAACACCAGTGCCGCTCCATTGATTTCAGTGGAGTTACTACTGCTTTACACCACTGTAAGTGAGAAAAGAATCAAGTCTTTAATTACATGACTAAACAACACAGGGCAATATGACATACTGTTCAACAAATATAATGGGAATAATCATATTATGTAACTGTAAATGCATTTATGTATCACTTTCCATTAGTGCATATTGTCTTATGAGTGATCATTTAAATGAAAGCCTCAAGTAGGAAGAGTTCAGGTTCTTGTGGGAATCTTATCTATGAATTTCCTTTTATCATTTAATTTACTAGTTTCATATATAAAATGTTTCCCTGAGAAAGATGATAAATACCAAGCAAAGTAATCAAGAGGTACTTCCACCATGAGTACTAATATAACCATGGCAGTAACTTTAAAACATTTTATAGTAACAAACTTACGCTTTAAGAGACAAACTATGCATCTAAGTATACAGGACCAATTTCAGCCCTGGTGTAATTTCATTTAAATCAGTGGCAATACATCAAGAATGAATTTGGCCAATATATTCACTATTAAAATATATTTAAAATTTAAACTAAAACTGTTTTTTTCTTTTACCAGAAAGCTGTATTCTAGAATGCTTATGCCATCTTCATGTACAACAAGCCATACGTAGGAACTCTCAAGTGTGGATGTTGTTAGAGGCTACAAAAAGAGAAACAGCATTCCATTACACATTATAAATGGGGCTAGCTTTAAATAGTAACTTAATTAAAAGACTCAGACATTTTAAAATTTGTCAGATATCACACCAAAATATAAGGGAGCAGAAGTGCTGCAAAGAAGTTAGGGTATATATTTTAGGATTATTTGAAGGGAAATAAAAAACGAAAATTACCTCACAGCTTATTTACCAGACCTGTGTTGTGATTTGTGTCCCCAAGGGTCAAGCATGACACGAACATTTATTTAGGTTATTGATTTTTAGGGTTTTTATTGCTGCAGAACTTCAGGCTCAATTTCTTTATTATTCACGTCTCAATACTATCTTCTTTAGTAACAAAGTTGTGGGATGTTTAACAGTGATTTAGATGTCAGCAAGGGAGAATCTGCTTGAAATATATTCTGTACATTTAATCTCTATTAATGCTTCTAAGGACAAAAACCCAACTCCCATTTAAGTCTTTAATCGGAGTTGAATCAGACCCAAAAAGTATTAATTTAAAAAGGCTGCTTCAAAACAAGGAAAAAGATAGTGAGAGGATGCTGTGTGGAATGATATTAGAATGCAGGGGAGACATGGGCTAGAAATTAGGACTTACTTATTATTAAGATTATTAAAATTCATCAGCGTATTACTTAATCCAAGCAGTAACCGTTTGTTTGAAAAGTGTGAATTGGGAGTGCTTTGTTCCAGGTGGGCCTTGAGTGGTTGATTAGAGGGAAGTCAGTGTTTGGTACTGCAGGCACAGCATGCTGAAGAATCAGAGAGGGCAGTGCAGAACTGGGAAGAAAATTGGCAGCATGTGACCTCCAGAAGAAGAAAGAGGAGAACCCATGTACCCCCAATGCAGATAGTGGTAAGAAATCGTTTTCAGGGTCTCTGCACAGGTACTACGGCGGAGAATGGTTTGGAAGAGTCATCTGAGAGAAGGGATCAGAAGGAGACCCCATCGACCGGAAGGCATGGGATGCACTGTCCTAGGGATGCGGGTTCCATGACCATTACTCCCAAGAGGAGGAGACGGGTGGTGGTGGTCGGGGACTCCCTCCTAAGGGGGACAGAGTCATCCATCTGCCGTCCAGACCAGGAAACTCTAAGTGTGCTGCTTGCCTGGAGCTAGAACTCAGGATGTGACGGAGTGTCTGCCGAGACTGATCAAGCCCTCAGACTGCTACCCCTTCCTACTTCTCCACGTGGGGACCAATGATACTGCCGAGAATGATCTTGAGCAGGTCACTGCAGACTATGTGGCTCTGGGAAGAAGGATAAAGGAGTTTGAGGTGCAATTCATATTCTCGTCCATTCTCCCTGTTGAATGAAAAGGCCCAGGTAGGTACCATCGAATTGTGGAGATAAATGGATGGTTGCACAGGTGGTGTGGGAGAGAGGGCTTTGTATTCTTCGACCACGGGATGTTCTTCCAGGAAGAAGGATTGCTAAGAAGAGATGGGATCCACCTAACGAAGAGAGGGAAGAGCATCTTCGCAGGCAGGCTTGCTAACCTAGTGAGGAGGGCTTTAAACTAGGTTCACCGGGGGATGGAGACCTAAGCCCTGAGGAAGTGGGGAAGTGGGATACTGGGAGGAAACACAAGGCGGAGGGTGCAGCAGGGGAGGCCTCCTGAGTCATACTGAGAAACTAGGGCAATTGGCTAGTTATCTTAGGTGCCTGTACACGAATGCCAGAATCCTTGGAAACAAGCAGGAAGAATTGGAAGTCCTGGCACAATCAAGGAACTATGATATAATTGGAATAACAGAGACTTGGTGGGGTAACTCACATGACTGGAGCACTGTCATGGATGGGTATAAACTGTTCAGGAAGAACAGGCGGGGGAGAAAAGATGGAGGAGTTGCACTGTATGTAAGAGAGAAGTATGATTACTCAGAGCTCCAGTATGAAACTGGAGAAAACCCAAAGACTCTCAACAGGTTAAGTTTAGAGGCGAGAGCAACAAGGGTGATGTCGTAGTGGGCGTCTGCTATAGACCACCAGAATGGGAGGATGAGGCTTTCTTCAGACAACTGACAGAAGTTTCCAGATCACAGGCCCTGGTTCTCATGGGGGACTTCAATCACCCTGACATCTGCTGGGAGAGCAATACAGCAGTGCACAGACAATCCAGAAAGTTTTTGGAGAGTGTTGGGGATAACTTCCTGGTGCAAGTGCTGGAGGAACCAACTAGGGGCCGTGCTCCTCTTGACCTGCTGCTCACAAACAGGAAAAATTGGTAGGGGAAGTAGAAGTGGGTGGCAACCTGGGTAGCAGTGACCATGAGATGGTCAAGTTCAGGATACTGACAAAAGGAAGAAAGGAGAGCAGCAGAATACGGACCCTGGACTTCAGAAAAGCAGACCTTGATCCTTCATGGAACTGACAGGCAGGATCCCCTGGGAGGCTAATATGACGGGGAAAGGAGTCCAGGAGAGCTGGCTTTATTAAGGGCGCAGGAACAAACCATCCGGATGTGCAGAAAGAATAGCAAATATGACAGGCGACCAGCTTGCTTAACAGAGAAATCTTCAGCGAGCTTTAACACAAAAAAGGAAGTTTACAAGAAGTGGAAACTTGGACAGATAACTAGGGAGGAGTATAAAAATATTGCTCGAGCATGCAGGGGTGTAATGCAGGAAGGCCAAAGCACAATTGGAGTTGCAGCAAGCCTGGGATGTGACGGGTAACAAGAAGGGTTTATACAGGTATGTTAGCAACAAGAAGAAGGTCAGGGAAACTTTCTGAATGGGGGAGGCAACCTAGTGACAGATGATGTGGAAAAAGCTGAAGTACTTAATGCTTTTTTTGCCTCGGTCTTCACAGACAAGGTGAGCTCCCAGACTGCTGCACTGGACAGTACAGTATGGGGAGGAGGTGAGCAGCCCTCAGTGGTGAAAGAACAGGGTAAGGACTATTTAGAAAAGCTGGACATGCACAAGTCCATGGAGCCGGATCTAATGCATCTGAGGGTGCTGAGGGAGTTGGCTGATGTGACTGCAGAGCCATTGGCCATTACCTTTGAAAACTCGTGGCGATCAGGGGAGGTCCCGGACAATTGGAAAAAGGCAAATATAGTGCTCATCTTTAAAAAAGGGAAGAAGGAAAATCCGGGAAACTACAGACCGATCAGCCTCACCTCAGTGCCTGGAAAAATCAAGGAGCAAGTCCTCAAGGAATCCATTTTGAAGCACTTGGAGGAGAGGAAGGTGATCAGGAACAGTCAACATGGATTCACCAAGGGCAAGTCATTCCTGACCAACCTGATTGCCTTCTATGATGAGATAACTGGCTCTGTGGATATGGGGAATGCGGTGGACATGATATACCTTGACTTAAGCAAAGCTTATGATACGGTCTCCCATAGTATTCCTGCCAGCAAGTTAAAGACGCATGGACTGGATGAATGGACTATAAGGTGGATAGAAAGCTGGCTAGATCGTCAGGCTCAACAGTTAGTGATCAATGGCTCAATGTCTAGTTGGCAGCCGGTATCAAGCGGAGTGCCCCAGGGGTCAGTCCTGGGGCTGGTTTTGTTTAACATCTTCATTAATTATCTGGATGATGGGATGGTTTGCACCCTCAGCAAGTTCGCTGATGACGCTAAGCTGGGGGGAGAGATAAATACCCTGGAAGGTAGGGATAGCATCCAGAGTGACCTAGACAAATTGGAGGATTGGACAGAAGAAATCTGATGAGGTTCAACAAGGACAAGTGCAGAGTCCTCCACATAGGACGGAAGAATCCCATGCACTGCTACAGGCTGGGGACTGACTGGCTAAGCAGCAGTTCTGCAGAAAAGGACCTGAGGATTAAAGTGGACAAGAAGCTGTATATCAGTCAACAGTGTGCCCTTGTTGCCAAGAAGGCTAACGGCATATTGGGCTGCACTAGTAGGAACATTGCCAGCAGATCAAGGGAAGTGATTATTCCCTTCTATTTGGCACTAGTGACGCCACATCTGGAGTACTGCATCCAGTTTTGGGGCCCCCACTACAGAAAGGATGTGGACAAATTGGAGAGAGTCCAGCGGATGGCAACGAAAATGATCATGGGACTGGGGCACATGACTTACGAGAAGAGGCAGAGGGAACTGGGCTTGTTTAGTCTGCAGAAGAGAAGAGTGAGGGGGGATTTGATTGCAGCCTTCAACTACCTGAAGGGTGGTTCCAAAGAGGATGGAGCTCGGCTGTTCTGAGTGGTGGCAGATGACAGAACAAGAAGCAATGCTCTCAAGTTGCAGTGGGGGAGGTTTAGGTTGGATATTAGGAAAACCTATTTCACTAGGAGGGTGGTGAAGCACTGAAATGGGTTGCCTAGGGAGGTGGTGGAATCTCCATCCTTAGAGGTTTTTAAGGCCTGGCTTGACAAAGCCCTGGCTGGGATGATTTAGTTGGGGTTGGTCCTGCTTTGAGCAGGGGGTTGGACTAGATGACCTCCTGAGGTCTCTTCCAACCCTAATCTTCTATGATTCTATTAACAGAGATTCAAGCAACAGAAACACTTCCAACCCACTTTCAACTTAATTTGTTTTCTTCCTGCATACTACATTCAAACTTAAACCACCAACACCAAAACCCAAACCCGGTAAAGTTCCTTACTTTTGCCGCAAACATTTTAGCACCAAAGAATGACCACTTTCTGGCTACTGTGAGATAAATGCGCACACAATCTGCAGCACTGTGCCCCCGGAGAGCCATCCATCTAGTTGATAATCGCTGACGAAGCTGTCTGTTTGAAATGAAACTCATAGTGAGAATGTACTTTTGGATTTTGTTGTTAAAAAAGAACTAGTAAAAACCCAATCAAAAACTTTTGATTTTGTTAAAATGAGTATTCGATTTATGTGCTATAGGTCTGTCATATCTATCAGATATGCTGTATAGAAAACTCCAAACCAGTCATTAATATCATTTGCGTACAGCAAACCTTAGGTACCTTCTTGTTTCTGGAACACCATGATTAAATTTAAATGATCTAGGACGGTTCCCACCCCCCTTTTAAATAAAAAGTACTAGCAGCACAGGGTGCAAACATACAGCTCAGCTTCTGATATACATCTACAGGTACCCATGTGTGAAAGTAGAATTAAAAGGACATCTGTGAGATGAGATGTATAACCTCCACACTGGAGAGCCAAGGGTTAACAAGCAACTCTAGTCCCACAAGGCCCCATCCAGCTGCACTAGCTGGGCATACTCAAAATGGAGGCAGAGCTCAAAAGGGAGCAGTCCTAGTCATCAGGGTGGACAGAGGAAGGGGAGCAGTTATCTGCTGTTAACTTCTGCAGCAAGGCCACAGGAGCTCCACACCGCCTGGACCAGACCCCACTGCTGAACTGCCAAATGCCCTGTGGAGACTCGGGATGTTGGGCTGGGACTGGAGTAAAACAGCCTCTGGAGAACCCTGCCCCTTTGTGAGTGAATAAGCAGACCCTGTGGTGACTTTGGAGGGGTAAGAGTAGGAAGTAACCCAATGAGCAGGCTTGGTGGTGTCCACCTTCAGGCCGCATACCCAACCCGCTGGTCGCAGGACCCTGGATTGAAACCCAATGGAGCAGGGAGCGGCCTGGGTTCCCCTACGGCTGGCCCTGCAGACTCTTGCTGCTGGACGACACAGCTGCAGACTGTCACCACTGGGCTATACTACCGAACCCCCTGACAATCCACAACATGAAATATAGAATTTTTACCAACAAATTTAAGTATTTTCAGGTACTATATCCTACTCTTCAGTATGCCAGCTATATTTTGGTTTTACAATAACATTTTCCTGTTTTTCAAATCTTTTTCTTTTCCTGTAGCTCTGTTTGCCATGAGCCATGGGAAAACAGTTGCTATAACATTAGCAGAAATTAGAAGAATACATTATTTTTGTTCAAAATATCTTAAATTATGAAATACCCAATGTTTGACTAGAACAGATACAAATCCTGCAACGTTTACTCATATAAGTAGTTGAGTTCAATGAGTCTGCCCGCTTGAGTAAGGACTACTCTTGGACCAGACTATGGCACCCTTACTCAACTTTAGTAATACCTTAATAGACTTGTTCATTTCAATGGGATTATTGTCTGAGTAAAATAATATTCCAAGTAAGTAAGAGTGTCAGAATCAGGTCCTATGTGAGTAAAGGTTATAAGATCCTAAGTAATTTGTGTATTCTGAGAGTTGAGAGCATTTTGCTAAAATACATGATTAATAATTCTATTGTATATTTGGGTAACAAAGATTTAGAGGAAATGGGTTCTCCCTAACCCATTTGGTAAAAAGAATTTCAGTTTCATATATAGCTCTAGACAAAAATTTCTCATAAATGTATATCTAAAGCTTCCAGTATAACTGAAAAAGGCTTACTTCATCCCTAAACATAACAGAACCCTAAAAGTAAAAACGTTCACATCTTGTCTATCATAATACTTCCCCCTCTCACCTTAACTGTTCTTCTGAACAGCCATGCCTATACCTCTTTGGGTAAAATCTCTCCACTACATGTTTCAATGTCTGATTGGACTTGGAGGGAGAAGTAACTTGCCCTGCTGGAGTTGAGAAAGGTCTTTCGAAGTCCCCAATCTCCACCTAGTGGAAAGGCCAGGAAAGAGAAGATCTTTGTTTGTACAGAGTCATTTTAGAAATTAAATACAGTAACTCCTCGCTTAACGTCGTAGTTATGTTCCTGAAAAATGCGACTTTAAGTGAAACGATGTTAAGTGAATCCAATTTCCCCATAAGAATTAATGTAAATAGGGGGGTTAGGTTCCAGGGAATTTTTTTTTTGCCAGACAAAAGGCATTATATACATTTTAAACAATTTTAAACAAGCAATTTAATACAGGTATACGTTTTAAACAATTTTAAAGAAACAATTTTATACTACAATCATCACTGCTGCGTATGAAGCTTGGTTGAGGTGGTGGAGTCAGAGAGTGGAAGAGGATGGATTGTCCGGCTGCTCCTCTTGCTGTTCTTGCAAGCACAGGCACAACTATACATGACTTTGCCGGGGGCAGGGGGCTCAACCCTCGGCCCATCCACTCCACCCTTTCCCCCAAACCCCCACCCCTTGATCTGCCTCTTCTCCCCCCCACTTCCTCCCCCTTTACTTCGCACGCTGCGTTCTCGCTCCTCTCCCCTCCCTCCCCTCCCATCTGAACGCTGCAAGCCAGCTGATTGCCGCGGGCAGGAAGCAGGGGAGGGAGGGGGAGCCTGCACGCCGAGTCCTCGCTCCTCCCCCTCCCTCCTGCCTCCTAAACGCCGCAAGCCAGCTGATTGCCGCGGGGGGAGGAGGGGGAAGGCACTGATCCGCGGGGTCTGCCGGCGGGTGAGAGGCGCTGGGGGGAGGGAGGGATGTAGGGAGGCTGCCAGCTGTGGAGAAAGCAGGCAGCCAAACAACGTAATAGTGGAGCATTGCACAACTTTAAATGAGCATGTTCCCTAATTGCTCAGCAACGAAACAACGTTAACCGGGATGACTTTAAGTGAGGAGTTACCGTACCTTTTATGCATTGTCTCGTTGATTAGCATACTGTAAAACTTAAAATGTTTTGTCCATTAAAGTATATTTTCACTGATATAAAAATAGCGCAAGTTATATTTCACTTCTAATTACATTAAATTCACCAGGCAAAATTAGTTAGCACAAATCAAGTTTAAATTACAAAAGTAAAAAACATATTGTATAGAGTTTTCTTGCATTTCACAGTATTTCATATACAGGGACAAAACTTCAGCTGGTGTAAATTGACAAGTTCTAATTAAGCCAATCCAGAAAGTACCGTATATACTCGTTCATTAGCCCGTTCATTGATAAGCCGACCCCCCAAGATGGTTAGGTAAAAATAGCAAAAACTGTATGATCCTTTCATAAGCCGACCCTATATTTCAGGGGTTGGCAAACTTTGGCTCCTGGCCTGTTAGGGTAAGCCGCTAGCGGGCCTGGACGTTTTGTTTACCTGGAGCGTTCACAGGCACGGAGCCCCTCAGCTCCCAGTGTCCACGGTTTGCTGTTCCCAGCTAATGGGAGCTGCAGGAAGGGCCCGCCACTTCCCGCAGCTCCCATTGGCTGGGAACGGTGAACTGCAACCACAGGGAGCTGAGGGGCTCCATGCCTGTGAACGCTCCAGGTAAACAAAACGACAATGTATTAGATATTCAATTCAATGATTCCATAGAGTTTAAAATCATCGAATTTTGGTGTAGACCCATTTATAAGCCGACCCCCACTCTTTGATGTGTCACTTTTTTACCAAAAAGATTCGGCTTATGAACGAGTATCTACGGGTAACTCTCAAACTTTCTTTATGTGATGATCTCTGTGTTTTTCTTATGAAAATAAATCTTATACAGAAGTATATCGATTGAAACATCTGTAGGCTGTATTATTATGGTATATATAATTTTCAGAAGTTATTCATGGCACAGTGATTGGGGAGACCTGTTCAAGACTCCCTGTAACAAAATCAAATGGCTATGCTATGTTTAATTAATTAGGGCAGGATCGTGCAAGGTGCTGTGAACCTCCCGCCTTAACACTGATGTCAATAGGAGTAGAAAGTGGTCAGCAGTGGCCCGTTAATGTACAAGTTGACTGTTACCATAAACTCATAGATTACCTGAGCTAAAAGAGCTGCCATTTCCAGTGCCAGTTCTTTGTTGATAGGGAAAAGTCCATTTACTATCTGATCATTTGTCTGATACATTAACAGCAGCTTTTCCCTGTCTGTCTCCCCACGGACTTGAACTGAGAAATAAAGCCTACAAAAGAAGAAAGAAAAGTTATTTAAAAATGAAAATAGGGGTATTAGACCCTGGGTATTAGTAATGAGAGCTATGACCTTGCACCTCTGGGCCACTAGTTTGAAGTCAGCTCTGACCATAAATTGTTACCATCTGATGGCTTACATTGACTCATGTGAAATGAGTTGGTGATATCAATCCAGTTCCTAATGGATAGGTGTTTCTATCACAAATGGTAGCCTCAGCAGCTAGGACAAAGAATGAATGTGCTAGAGACTTATTAACACTTCAGCTCTGAAGGTAACCTGTCCAGAGCAGAGTTGAGGCACAGAGAAAGGGCAGCACTTGGAAGCTTTTACTGCCACTGTACTAAATCTGTGGACAAATGGAGAAAATCAACCTCTAGAATTGTCACTCTAAACCATTTTACTAGCTATACATTCACTACTTCTAAAAGGTGGAAAAAAGTGACCCTTTAGTATCTTGTCATTTTAAAATTTTTGCTCCAGTTAAGCCCATTGCTCATTTCCATAGAACAGGGACAGCACAGGAGTAAAATCCTGGAATTCTATAATGCAATTTGAAGGCTAGTTACTCTGCTGTTCAAACGGATTACTTAACACATGCCCTTAGTTTTACATTTTAAAAAAAGCATCACATCATTGCACACATATATCTTATTTTTAAGTGAATGATAAGAAATCAGACTAAAAAGTTTAAACATGAATAGAATTTAAATGCCAGTTTGAAAATAATTAAAGATATAAATACCCACCAAAAGATCTGCACCTCATTGAATCTAAATGAATAAAGTTTAATGATTTCACAATTAAGCATTGATTTGTATTTTGCTTTCATGAAATGCAACACCACTTGACAATTGAGGAATCATAGACCTTCCAAGTACATAATAATGCAAATTAGTACAGTGGTTTTTCACCTCTGTAGATCTAGGGTCTTTAATTTGGTAGTGTCAGCCTAGTCCCCATGTATCCAAAACTCAAGTTCCAGCAAAGTTTGGCACAATTAGCAACTGATGCTCAGGAGAGACCAAGGACTGAGCAAAAGGGGCGTTGTAGGTCAAGACAAGTGCTCCTCAATCTCATAAGCTTTGCCTACAAATTAAAAAATTAAATACTGGTACATAACATAATCAGTTCCATTTTACTGGATGTAGATTGTAGACACAATTGGACATTACAGTTTTCCAAGCTAAACAGAGTAAGAGAAAACAACTTTTGATGGGAACTACTGTGTGCTGACCTTTTTACTACTAAACTATGAAATATCAACCTGTGGCTGTTGCTTATTATGCAAATAATGTTCAACTCACTATTATCTCATCCTTCTCCTACAGATGTACCCCTAAGACTTCTACCTTTAGAGATCCCATTAATTGGTAGCCTGCTCTTACTCTCTTCTTGTTAGGTTCATGCTATATGTTTAAAATTCCATGCACATTGGATCTGCATACTCCTAGAGCCTTATTCTATACCTGTGCAGGTGGAACCCACACGAAAGACAAGCAGACCAGCTAAACCTCAATAAATGGGATCCTGCCAGGTGTAAGATGCTTGGAAGGAGGGTTCATCAAAGGAAAGATGGCCTGGTGGAGGATGTGGGAAGGAGCCACAGCCTCTAAGCAGGGTCATGAGATGGGGTGTCCAATGAACCAGCAGATTGCCTAAGGAAAACAAATCAGGATTTGCCTGACTAGCTTACTCTGTACTTCCCAACCTGCTAAGTTTAAGAAAAACAAAAATCTAAGGTTTATATGAAGGTTTCCAAAATATTGATACTAATGAAGTTAATTTATTTAACAAAGATTGCAGTGTCTTTCTCTTTTAACATTTTGGAGTAAGCTTTGATTCAGCTAATACCTTTCCAGATAATAAACACCATATAAATTAAAGAAAATTCCTAGGACAAAGTAATGGAATTATGCTCAGTATTATATACCTGTTTTTATATGTAAGACGCACAGTTCTTGTGCCTTCACATTTCCCAGGATGCTGTTCTTTGGAGGCCTGCTCCCATTTAGAAATAATGTCACAGATCTAAAAGGAAAATGAATATGTGGAACTGTCAGTTCTGTAGTTTCTTGCCAAAACAGCATCTTTGAAGGAAACCATCTGTTTATTATGAAAGAATTTCAATTATTGTAACTCAGAAAAATCACGTAGCTTTAATTTTTAAACTTGTGAAAAGTACCTGTACAGGCACTTTTTAGCTGAGGATTTAGCAGTCAGATTTTGTTGTTGTTATTCGCTTATCCTACCAGACAGATCTTGGTTTTGGAATCTGGCCATACAATGTTTATACAGAAAGGAAAGGTATATAATTTAGCAGGAGCCAACACATATGTAATTATCCAAAACTAGTTGTTTTATAATTAATCAAACTAATGACTTTCATAAAGAGGATAATTAAACAATTATACTGCATGTTGTGGATGGTTCCGTTTCTAACAAGTGTTTTGTGCAAGTTGGAGACTCGCTTGGTCCCTTGTTCCCAGACCAAAGGAAGAGTGTGTTGCAATGGCAGCACCCTAGTCCATTCAGATTAGATGGGAAGAAACTATTTAGTGACCCCCTTGGAAAGACTCAGCAGAAATGTTAACAGAATCCAAAATCTCACGTTAATAGAAAACAAAATACGAGAATAAGTAAACTGTTTAATAGATTTTTTTTTTGCCTTCCATGTCATAATTTTTGTTTTGGTTTTGGTTTTTTTTTTTGGTAGGAAAGAGGAATCTTCCATGGCCCTATTTATCTCCGGTTGCATCATGATGACCTTTCTTCCAGCCATAGAAGGCTGGATGCAGAGCCCCCTGAAGCCAGTTAATACTTCTCTGAACACTGCAGAAGGGTGTAACAGGCCTGCCTGATGGTATTACCCGGCATTCCTTACTCCCCAGGACTGAGGGAGCTGCTTCAACAGCAGTCCGAGCCCCACTATTTGCTTTGCAACAACAACGATGTAACGTAGTAAACCATCAATTATGGTGTGTCTTCCCAACCCTTGCTGCAAATACCTTAATCCTGAGTGGTGTGGATAACTACATCCCTTCAGAATCCATAGAAATAACATTACACTGAGCACTGCCAATCTACTGAACTGAACCTAAACCTTTTCCTCCTTGTATTGGATAGGAAACCCTCTGACATTCCTTCCAGATCTCTGTCAGCCCCTTTCCTTGATCCTCCAATACATCCCTCACTTGAGCAACATATTAGAAGAGCTGTTTGTATTTTGATATTTTAGGAGATGGGTTTATATTTCTAAGTTTATAGTAAATCTGATGTTATGACAAGTACCAGATTGCCAGCATTGGACACTGAAGTCTTCTAGCCACAGGACTTGCAAAGTACAAGATACGGTAGTTCAATCTTCATGTCACAGCCCTCATCTGGAGACTTCTATTCCAGTCTACTCCACCTCTCCAGCTCTGAGAGCTCTTCAGGATTACTGGGTATTCAGACCTTTGTTGTTCAGCCACAGGAGTTGGACTGAGAACACCAACTAAAGCCACTGAATGAGCATTAGACTGTAATCACTTTTAGACACTAATAACAGTCCTCATGTAAACTGGTGTCCTAGAGGTGAAAAGTTCCTTATCCCATCATCAATTCCCTAAGCCATTCTAGTCTGCCAGGCAATGCTTTTAAATGTATTCCACTGAATGAATTTCAGAGTTAAAAATTAGAGTTTGTTTTCATCTTTCCTTTGATGTATGTCAAATGAGGAAAAGCAAAAAGTATTTAATGAGGAAATAATCTTCCCTTACATTGTTTGTTTGAAAAGGCCTCTGTAAAATTAAGATATTTTTGTTGTTTAATATGTGCAGCTCATTAAAGAGTTTTGTTTACCTTGATGTTTCCTTGAAGACAGTGCTCTATATCCTTGCCAGAAGGATCATCAGTAAATAATGCAAATCCTGACTGGACTGGTTTTCTCATTCCTGTGTCCTGGTTAAGGGTGTTCAGAAATTCTTCCACTGTGGTGGAGGCATCAAATCCAACAACCTGAACAGAGGAAAACGAAACACTTTAGTTACAAGAACTCTCAAAAATATTAAATGTAACATTTTGAAGAAGGACAAGACACTTTCTAGAACATACATGGAAAGAGAGTGCCCTGTTCCATCCTCCTTGGATAGCTTATTGTCATTACAACTTGATAAACTCCACTACAGGTTAGACAAAAATTGAGTCAGGATTTAAACTTGTAAATTCTGGAAAAAAAGAAGACAGTTTGGTGGTCTTTCTTCTACCCTATTGAGCAAATTTTATGTCAAAAACTTTGCTTACCTGTTACAAGTCATTGCATTTTGTTTACCAAATCAAAGACTATTATACATAGCATCTCAGACTGTTATTAAACTAATATATTATTTTTCTTTTTTTGTTTTCCAGCCCAAACTTAATCTCTAGATAAATGCATTTACAGGTTTTTTTTATTTACTAAACTATAGATTTGAATTAATCTAAATGTTTGATTTAAAAAGGCAATTTGATATGTTCCTCTATGAGGAAAAATATGATTAGAAATACTATAACAAAAAAAATTATGACAGGGAGGCTCAGCAGGTAAGATTATAGATAACAACCTTGCATGACATACAATTTAACAGGAGGCTTGAGTAGATTATACTGTATGTCTGAAATACCATACAAAATGTATTTCAGGAGCAGTGATATATAATATATATAGTAATTGTCCAAAGAATATCTTCTCCCTCCCATGTCTACTGGTGTAAATATTTATCAAGTTTCCTGTTCTGTCTTTGGTACTAAAGAATTTTAGTAACAGGTGGCTAATTGTCTCTACTCAGATACTTGTCTCTGACACTTCCCTCAACTTTATGTTTGTGCTAAAGGACAGGGGTATCTACCAGGCTCTGCACACAAAAGAAACCACACCACTTTTATTAGTAATAAAATGTCTTAGAAAAACTGGATCATGGAGTCCGACGGACTGTAATGGAAACTAGGAGCCTAAATACCTATGGGGATCTGAGCCCAACTAACTAACCAATTATAGTGACATTTAAGACTCTTTATTGGTTTTATTTCATATCACTTGGGAGCATGTCTTTTCAAACCAATATATAAGCATCATGGATGGTTAAATTCTTTTTGATCTCAAGCATTTCTCTTTGAAACTTTAAGGTGATGACTTAATGGAGATCCAAGTATATATAAATATATATATATATATTTATTTATTTTTGTTGGATATATATTGAATACTTTTTTAAAGTTTATAATAATGTTTTAAAAGCAGAGTTTTTCTTTATACCTGGAAATAAAAATGATATTCAGTGCATAACTACATAATTTTAAAATTATTTACATGCCATAATTCACAGAAAGGATACTAGATCCAATACTGATCCTATACTGAAGTTAATGGGAGTTCTACTGTGTCACAGGGTAACGTGGCCCCTGTAAGGGGCCTCATCTGTCTTCCAGAGATGGGAAGGAGTTAGCCTGGTCTGTGGCTACTAAGGGATTAATGATGGTAACTGAGACATGAGGATCAGCTGAAAGGGTTCATGAAATTGATGACTGTCACCTGAGGAGGGTGTGGTTCAGGAGGAGAGAGCTATTAGGAATAGGAAATACTGTGGTTTAAAAGAGGGGAGGAGGTAGGCAAATGGTAGTCTGTGGTAGTGGTGGGAGTTTAGAAGAGAAAGATGGGCTGTAGGAGAAGGAAATACTCAGGGCATTAGATTGGCCCCAAGAGACTATGGAGCATATTCTGCCTGTAATAAATGCAGGTATCCTCTGTTAATGATGATCAGAGTTACACATGTGCCTCATGACCTTCAATGAGCTACCCGATTTCCAAGGTGCTCAGTTGGAGGGAATACCTCTAACACCTTGCTCTCTTCTCCAGACTGCTCCATTCATGTGGTTAAACAAGAAAAATTAAGTGGATACTACTTAGGCAATAATGGGTTTTTAATTTTTTTAAAGATGTTTTGCTCAAAACTTTTTCTTTTCCTGAAACACGGATCAAATCTGACAATTACTTTGCCCATTCCATTGCCAACCACCAGTAAGGAGAAATTCAAGCCATATTTACTTTAATGCTCATAGTTCTCCCTCCTTCATCTTGGCTATCACACATAACCACTTCACAAGTGTGCTAATAAAATCAGATTGGGCAAGTTAAATATCATGCTTATGAGCCCTACCTGGTATATACCATTCATGAAATGAACTGGAATACTGAATGGCAACGAGTGGTGGTAGGGATTTCTTAGAAGGGTTGAAAGGATTTCCATCCTTGATGGCCTTGCTTCTCGGTCCCCATTCTGCTGGGTTCTCTCAACACATCGCTGACAGTAAATTGCATATTTCCCAAATTCAGTTCTGTGACAAAAAGAGAAACAGGGCATGGCTCATGAACTGCTCCACTATGTGCTAAGTTGTGAGCAAACCCACTGAAAGATCCAAATGGAAGGAGAACTCTGAGGTTTCCTTGCAATGTTTCCAACAGATTTTTCCATCAAAGGTGAGAATATAAAGGGTGTTAATCCACTGAAAATAATAGTTTTGTCAGGAATGAATTTGCCTCAGAACGTTTTGGGTAACAGCTATATTGTGCTTTTCATGCTTTTACATTGTGTGTTCAGAATACTGTAGTGCAATTTTCAAAACAAAGGACAAATTTTCCAAGTGATGCACACAAGTTATGTGTACAAATTATACTTTTGTAGCATTTGTCCACAAATATGTCATAAAGTTGATTTTAAAATGTATCCTAGAAGTTCCATCAGTGGGACTTGTACAGCTAGTAATACGTAGCACACCTGGAATCGGCATTCTTCTTTAAATGAAGTTTGAGGAGCCAAAGGAATGGGTGTTGAGGAAGGAATAGTCCAACACAGAGAGCTAACAGCTGCAAACCCTGGAAAAAAGAAAAAAACACTATTTTGGGCATCTTACAAAGAAAAATAACTTCCTGCTGTGATCACTGGTCAACAGTGCAGCTCATTGTGCAAAATGCCAAATAAAATGACAGACAATTGTATATTGGAAGGAAAAGCTCAAAACTACAGGTAAAAAGCTTAAATGAATTGGGGTATTACCTCATCGGAAGCCCAAGATGTCTTTATCTCTATTTCCATGTTTCCCCCTTCCTGCAACTTTTTTTGGTTCAGTTTATATAAAATTACATACAAAAAACTGCATTAAAAGAAAACTAAGGTTGCAAAGTCAATCACTAAAATGTTGGGGAATACCTGAGTCAAGGTTCCCTGTGCCACCTTAATTCAGCTCCCCTGTGAGTATGCATTATAGATAGTCTTTAATTACATAATTACATCCCTTTTCCCCCCCACAGGACCCCTGCCTCAGTCAGTGCACAGGATGAACAATGCTCACTGAATGAGCAGCTATTTGACATTTTTTTTATCCTCATTGTTCACTGTGTAGACCTAAGACTTATTTATTGCATGCTATTCAAACCTACTCTGAATACAGAATTATTAATTTCCTAATGGGCTTTTTTATGGAGCTCGCCACTTCAGCACTCATTTACAAATATTAATGAATTTATTTTCTCAACACCCTTGTGAGGTAAGGTGATATTATTATCCCGATTATACATATGGGGAACTAGTGCACAGAGACATTAATGTTTAAAGTGTAAAATAATTTTGGTGCCCACTTTGAGATGTCTATAACCTGACTTATTTTTTTCAGAGAATGTAGCGTTTTATTTGTTCAGCTTTCACTGACTCCAGGGGCAGTTATGAGTGTCCAGCACTTCTGCAGACCAGAGTGTCTCAAGTGGGGCACCCAGAAATGAAGAACTACATAGTTAATGAAAAATTTGGTTTAAATAACATGTCCTGCATCAAATAGGAATTAAATCCATTTAAGGTGGCATTTAATTCCCTAAACCACAAAACCATTCCATCTCTTGCTGCAGTCCCCTCCCTCATTCACTACACAGTCTCCAACATCTGCAACAAATGAAGCAGGGATCCTACAGACAACAGTCTCATTCACTACACATCCTGATGCATTCCCAGATCACTAGTCATACTGTGCACTGAATAAGGCTTGACTACTGTGGAAAAAATAGTTTGTGACTATGTGATTAAAGACTGTATATATGCATACACACAAGGGGGCCGAATTACAGTTGCACTGAGAGTGAAAGGAAGACGGCCTCCCTGCTCTCAGGTCCTGTGCATGGCATCACAGCTATCCATGGGTGGTGGAAGGAGCAACTGCAAGTCATGTTCAGCTCCTGCATGCCCACTACAGATGGAATCTTCAGAGAATTTAGCTGCCAAACTCTAACAAGTCTCTACTGAGCATGTGCAAACAAAATTTTAGAGACTCGTAATTTAACTAGATTTGGAGAAAAAGTCACAGCCCCAACACCAAGGCAACCAAATAAATTTCAAGTCCCTGCTCCAAAGTGTGCAGGCACTAGAGCATCTCAACAAAGCATTGCACGAATTTTTTAACTTGGGTAAAACAACATATTTGTCCTTGACCTCATTCTGAGAAACTGCTGAACATTTTTATTGAATATTTCCCACAGTAAATCAGCCTGAGGCAAACACCTCATGTGGAAAATTTCAGCCCAAGCGGTTAAAGATGGCCAAGTTATAAGCAACTGAAAACAGGGACTTATAATGGAAAATGTCAGGAAACCTCAACTATAGATCTACCTATAATACATTTCCCCCCCCAGATTTCATTTGCTGATGCTATCCTCCTATCCACACTCCTCTGGCCCAGGACAGATGCTGAGGATGAACTATGTGGCAGCTTCACACCTTGCCTGCAGGTTAGGTGGGAATGTAATTATTTTATCCCTCTAAGCATTTGCAGAGTTTCTTTCTCAAAGCCCATTTAGGGCATGATGCAACTTCCATTTAGTTAATGGAAAAATTAATGGACTTCAATGGGAGATGGATCAGACTTTTATTTGGGAGGGATAGTGACATGAAAGTGTTTGAGAGAAAAAAACGTATCTTCCCGTAATGATCTGGGACCTCAAAACATTCCCTCATCCCATTATTTTTATTTATTTATTATTTTTATTTTATGAAAGCACTTTAATGTACTTTTAAAACCATTATGGAAGATTATAACAACGTTTTTTTCATCTATAAAGAAAGGCCCTATCAATGAATGGTACAAGAGTGTCAAAAAAGAGAAGGGTTAAATTAAAACCATCAACTGCAGTATGTGTCAACTTAATAATTTTCCAAATATGAACTCAGGTACTGAATAAAAACACATCTATATCTGTATATACCACTTAGACTATAATCTCTTTTTCCCCTCTCAGTTTAATTTTTTTCCTACTTACAAATTTGAAGAAAAATATAGTTCTGGTAATAAAGCAGAGTGAAGAAACACAATTAGGTGCTGCATATACATTATTTGGTATGCAGTATGTGTACAAGATTGTGTGGGAGGCTGTAAGGCCAGGCACTGGAAAGAAGATACTTGTCTTGAAAACAGGCATATTAAAGTGCATGGCCAAATATGCGGAATGAATTGCCCCCCCTCAAGCACATTCTAAAGACAAATGTTCTGTGTGAGTTAGGGGCTGAATCTGGAATTAACTCAGGAAGAAAGACAGGCTCTCAAGGAAGCATGCAGAAAGCTGAGAGGAGAACCACAGGGGACTATGTGTTACACCTTACTTTAGACTTTAGCTGAGGTAAACCCACTTGCGTTTGTGTTCAGCCCTTAAAAGAGATGGGGATGTTCTTTACACTTATTCTTCTGATTTACAATAAAGCACAGCACAAAGATGCAAATTTTAGCTAAGCATACAGATTTCTTTGCTGTACTCAATGGTCCGTCAAAGCTCTTCATTACTCATGTGAAGGACATTCCATTAACAGAAGTTATTCATACCTGTATTGGTCCTGCCTGGTTCTGTGGATGTCGACGTCTTGTCTGCTTAATGAGCTGGCAGCAGATCTCATTTTGAAGCTCTGGATGTGTGAGGCAGATCTGCAAAGCACTCTGGGCCAAAGATACATGGTAATCAATGGCAGGAGAGTCAACTGCAGCATTTATAAACAACTGGCAGGTCTGGATATAAAATAATAATATGTAAGTTTATATATCAACCTCCACCTAACTCCTTCACAGAGGTGCTTCATAACAAAAATGCAATAATATTTAAAGCATCATGCATTAAATTAATTAAAATGTTAAAAACAAATAAGGTGCTATCACTGGAAAGGGGTGGGGTTCTCTACACGGCCAGATTTAAGATAAAAATACCTCTGAACAGTCTATTTTCAAATGCTTTTTTAAAAGTGGGAAGGGATAAAATGAGGCAGATTTCTGCAGGGAGTGAATTCTACTCACTAGGAACTATGACAGCAAAAACACAATCACCTACTGAGACATGATGAGGTGATGTCAGGCAAGTTTTCAGAAGGTTCTGAATACAACCAGGGCCTATATACATTGTTCAGGACTTTGAAACCCAAAAGGGCAAGCTCAGAATCAATCTTCTACTACTGTAAAGGCAGTCAGTATAAAAACAAAAAGTGGGCACAAAACAATCATGGCTGGTCCGTCCTGTGAGCAGTTGCAGTGTTGCATGCCATGGCAAGGCTGTTGAAACAAGAGCAACAAACTTTAAAGGCCTCATGCAACAAACTACAAATTGACCAGAACATTAGGATTTTTTGTTTCTTGAGTTGTATTCTTTCTACATTGGGAAAATTTTCAATGTGGGAAGGGGAGAGGAAACAACGAGGGGAGCTATTAGGTGGCACAATGGGTTAGTGCAATAGTTCGTTAGCTCACGAGTCCTAAGTTAAAATCTGGGCTCAAGTCCCATGAGTTTGATGGCCTCATTCTGTCTCCACTTGTTCACATCACAAAAGCAGCATAATATTTTGCACTACTGGTAGTCTCTGCTCAAGCAAACTCCACTTCTGGAATAGCTAGGAGCTTCCATAAAGCAACAGCAATGCTGTCCTAGAAAGATTGCATAACACCTGCCCCAGAAAGGTGGGTTCCAGTTGGTCTACATATTTAGTCCCTTGGTTACATGATCACTAAATCCACTTATACCTTTTAAACATTAATCTTTAAGGAATTATTTTAATAACCAAGATAGAAGGGAAACAAACTATCAACAGATTAGATTCCTTCTATCTTGAGATATTTAGATATATTTGACTAATTTTGATTAGCAGCAGAATAACTGAAAATGAACCCAAATGTCTCTCTTTTGATTGAAACATTAGTTCTAAATCAAGTTGGGAATTAATTTAGCATCTTCAACACTGAGTTCTTTATAATGACAGTGTCACATAAGTCATCCCTTTCTAGCAAAATAACTACTTCCTGTGACAGACGTTCAGATTTGCCAAATGTAATTCAGAATGTCATTTTTCAAATACATGTGTTTATTTGTGCTGAGGAAAGTTCATTCCCTTTTAAACTTTCGTGCTGTTGGGATGAGCGAAATAAAATGGATGTTTTTCTTTAAGACCCTCCTGACATTTCAAACAAACAAGCTGGATATGCCAGTGACAGGGACTGAACAGATGGAATGTATAGAATTCCTTTCTACATCTAGCCAAAAACTATCCCATATGACTTCTCAAGATAGTTTTTACTGGAAGGAACTTGGTCTTGGCAGAATTAATAATGTTAGGATAAGGTCCATGGAGAAAGGGCATTCATCCATGGAACTTGCTTTCTAATTCTTAATATATCCCTCAGTGTGCAAAGAAATGGCAGAAAAGTACTTTTTCTCTGTAACAATCATTAGCATATAGTCCGTAGCAATCTTTAGCTGTGAAAAACACATTTTTACCTATCCAACTTGAGGAGTGAAATCCAGGGGAGTTTTGCCATTAACTTCAATGGGGCTGGGCTTTTACTCAAGGACTCTGTTCTGCAACCACCTGTGCTCAAACACTGGGGTCTACCTGCAGGCAACAGGATCAAGACCTATCTCTTGAATTCACTTGTCAGAGCTGCATCTTTGCAGAAGGGCAGTTGCTGTGTACTCTTTGTGGGTGAAAGTAACTTAAAGGACTTACCGGTACGCCGGAGTCCTGAGCTGGGGCGTAGCCTCAACTAGAAGAGGCATGGCGTCAACCGGAAGAGGCGGGCCCTTTAAATACCCGGGCCCTTTAAATCACCCCCGGAGCTACCAGCTGCAGAGGTGGCTGGGAGCCCTGGGGCTCAGGGGCGATTTAAAGGGCTCGGGGCTCCAGTCGCCGCTACCGCAGCAGAGCCCCTGGCCCTTTAAATCACTGCCGTAGCCCTGCTGCCGCTACCCCAAGGCTTCGGCAGCTGGGCTTGGGAGGCGATTCAAAGGGTCCCGGGCTCCGGCCACTGCAGGGAGCCCCGGGCCCTTTAAATTGCCAGCCTGGGGAAGCCGGTCCAGTCCGGCACGGCGTACTGGCTCTTTCACCTCTGACTATTCTTAATAATATGATATAATTATTTTAGGTCTAAATATTATGAAGAATCTTACTCTGTAGTCTTCACATACCTTTTATTTTACTATATATTATTATTAAAACACACATGTACTTTTCATTTGTTCACTAAACTCAAGAAGGAAAACACAGGCTCAGCTTAGATATATGTATATGAAAGTCTTGATCATTTTTTTTTATTTATAAAAGAAAAAGGACAATAGAAACTTTCCCTCCTAAGTCAGCAGTTTGAATTCAGCCAAGGTCCAACATGAATGACAATTGTTACCATATGATTAGAGTTAGTTCAAAAATTAGGGGAAAAAATGTGCAGAAATGATGGTTTGGGGTTTATTTGTTTTTTTGCATTTTTTCCCATCAGAATTTGTAAAATGTCTTCAATCTCTAGAGCTGGTTGAAAAACATGAAAAAAGGCACAACAATTTAAATTACTTTTTGTAGTTGTTGTTTGTTTAAAATTTACTTGAAAAAACAAATTTCAGAAAATTTCAACCAGCTCTCTATCTGATGGCTGTTTTGTAGCCCTTGAATTTGATTATCTTAGTCTCAGGCCAAAAATCCACTATCCTCCTGGGTGCTAACTGGCAATTTTACTGATAATCTCAGCAGAAAGGTCATAAGTTAAACAGACCTGGAGACTGAACTGCTCTCTCAACTCTAGAGATGTTATCTTCAGATTAGGGGGTGAGGCTGTGTGGAGAGGCTTCAACTAGCACTGTCCATGCCTTATGTGTTCTGAAGATAAAGACATACCTTTTCTTTCCAGGCTGTGATGGGGTGTACCAACCCCATAGTGGACCAGAAGGGATTAATGAGAGTCTGTGGACTCAATAAACTCCACCCTGCTACACCTGCAGTAGGTGTCAATCCTGGAGGGAAGAGTTAAAAGGGCTGAACCCAGCTCAGCTAGGGGCTGACCAAGAAGGAGAGCAGATTGTTGGCTATTACTCAGCGAGAGAAGCCTGGCTGGAGTGAGGCTGCTGAGTTGGACTGCTGGCAGACAGCACCTCCCTGAAGGAAGGTAGGTGGGCCTGCAACAGGCACCCCAAAGCAGTGGTGAGGGAAAGCTAGAAAAGTGAGTCTACCCATGATTCTCCATGCTGGTGAAAGAGCCTGTAGGGAGCAGAGGCTGTCTGCCAGGAGAGTAGAGAAAGCTCTTCTGCAGCTAGGGTGACCAGACAGGAAATGTGAAAAACTGGGACAGGGGGTGGAGGGTAATAGGAGCCTATATAAGAAAAAGACCCAAAAATCAGGACTGTCCCTATAAAATCAGGACTGTCTCTATAAAATGAGACATCTGGTCACCCTATCTGCAGCAGAACCAGCTGGGTGGCAGAAAGTGCTAAGAAGCTCTGCCATGAGACTGTGGAAGAAGCTTAAAGAGAGAGATGCTGATACTCTGTGAGTCTGGGAAATGTCTGTGGGAAAGACCTGAGACGGTAAGGTAAGAACTAGGCCAGCGAGGGAGCAAGGAAACTGTGTAGACAGGCTTCACTGCTTATTAAAGGGTCCCTGGACTGGAACTCAGTGAAGTGGGAGGGTTTAGGTTCCCCTACTGGCCCAATGAGGAGGGTGGAGTAAAAACCCCCTGGCAAGGGGTAAGGACTGTTGAAACCCCCTGATACCTGAGATAAGGACTACTGATTCTGGAGTTGGACTGAATATGAGGTTAATGGACTATTCTTTGTTGGATTCTTGGCTCACCCCAGAAGGGGTGGCTAGGGTTGCCAATTTTGGTTGGATGTATTCCTGGAAGTTTCATCACATGACACAATCTTTAATTAAAGATTAATCTTTAAAGTCTCCAGGAGACTTCAGGACAATCCTGAAAAGTTTGCAACCGTAGAGGTGGCATTATATGTGACCTGGCTGGAGGGCCAAGTTCCAAGAATCCTAACATCACAGCTGTCGATGGAGGAGAGCCTGCTACACCACACAGAGCCACAAGGGGATGTGCTAGCTGGTGAGTCACACTCACACACAGGCCTGTTAATAGAACACCTTTATTGAGCAAAAAAGTATCTCTCTCACACAGAAAAAAACAAAAACATTTACCAGGATTTTACCTTAAATAATTTAATTGCTTCAGTTTGCAGGGCCTCTGATGGCAGTGTTGTAAGAGGGGAAGCAATTCCTTCTTTGCTGTGACAAAGAGTAGGGTGTCTCCAAATTTGAGAGGCTGAACAGATAATACATGGTCACTGCTTGCACGGAATCATTTAAGATAATGACTTTATATAACATCTTTCATCCAAAAGGAACACAACATATTTTATAAACTCTTAGTAACTGACTTTACATACAGGAATCATTTTGGCTACCAATAAAGTGCAGCCACTTCTGGGGTGAATCACAGCAACACATAAAAATGCATAGGAACACTTTTAATAGTAAAAGAAGAGTCTCTCATTTGTTTGAAATTTCAGGGAAACTTAAGTAGACAGAATCGAATTACCCATGTTGGAATAGATCTTGGGGGGGCGGGGAAAGTCTTGGTATTTTTAATAGCTGCAGGTGTCATCAGACCTAGCTGTTGCATCTCACCTGGAAAAACATTGCTTCCAGTAGCACTGTACTCCCTAACACCTTGCTAGATATTGACTCAGCAGGAAAACAAACTCATCTGTCTTTATGACTGAATAATAATCACTACTTTTTCAGCAAAATATGTATTTGGTTTCCATTCTGACCCTCCAAACACCTAGTGCAATGTATTACAGTTGAGTTGAAAGGGCCTTCCCTATTTATTTTCCCGGGTAGCCATGTTTATGGCTTTCAAATTTTGACAGGTATGGGGAATGATATCACCATTCAATGCATCAAACTATTTCCTGCAGAGGTTGAGTTTCTCCCTAGAAATCTCCCATTCAAGTATTGAACTACCTCAAATCTGATTAGTTTGAGATCACTGTTTGAAGTGGTATGCTCCGTTGTGTGTCTCTCTCTAATCAGAACAGTACATTCAAGGTAGGCAAGTCTGGTACAACTCCTGTTCACTTGGCTCATTGTTTCCACGGTTCATACCCCAATGATAAGTTATTTTATTTTAGAAAAGTGTATACCACGAGGGTCTGCTTAGAAGAGTTTCAGAAGTCATATTTCTGGTTGAAGAGGCTCAACAAGACCAACTGCCAGTATAGTTCTGAACACCAGAATCTAGCCACTAGGGAATGTGATTTAACTTGCCTGGACTAGTAGGGCACAAGAACTCAAGCCTCTTCTTACCTTATGTGTGGGAAGTGACTTACACTCAGGATATGCTAGCGACTAAATAAATGAAAAACTATGCTACTGTGACATACTATGGACAAGAGAACAGTGGTGACATACTGTAGAGGACTCAGATAGAACATCACCACTTTCTTTGCTGATTGCCTTAGGGCAGCACACACGTTCTCCTTTTGCTTGATAAGACTCTGCTAAAAGCTATTTTTTTAGGCTTTAACTTGTTAAGCGTAGACACCCAACATACATTCTCGCTCATGTTGTCTAATATCAGCAAGTTTAGGGCCTGATCCTGCAAACGCTAACTCAAATGAACTAATCCTTATTCTCACACATAGTCCCATTGATTTTAAATGGAACGACTCACAAGGATAAGGTCTGCAGATCAGTCTCAGAGTTTGTAACAGCAGATGCCCCAGCTAAGAACATTCTTCTGCAGACTTTAGAGCAGTGGTGGGCAACCTGCGGCCCATGGGCTGCACGCAGCCTGTCAGGGTAATCTGCTGGCGGGCCATAAAACAGATTATTTACATTGACCGTCTGCAGGCACGGCCGCCCACAGCTCCTAGTGGCAGCGGTTCGCTGTTCCCGGCCAATGGGACCTGCAGGAAGCAGCGGCCAGCCCACGCCACTTCCCACAGCACCCATTGGCCGGGAATGGAGAACCACAGCCACTGGGAGCTGTGGGCAGCCATGCCTGCAGACGGTCAATGTAAACAAACTGTCTCGCGAACCACCAGTGGATTACCCTGATAGGCCACATGCGGCCCGCAGGCCGTAGGTTGCCCACCACTGCTTTAGAGACTGAGTGTCTACAGCTGAGCTAGAGATATTTAAATAAATTAAAAACTCAATTTCCATTTCCAAGAACAACAATGTTTTGGCCATAAAGAACAAGATGTAGTTCTGAATTTGGGCAGACAGACACATATCATAAAGCTTCAGCTCATTTTTGACTCTTCATGGGAGACTATTGTGTAACTTGCTCATCCTGCTGCAGCAGCACCGTGTCGGGGCAAATGGCCATTTCTCCAAAATCTATGTTTACCCCAGTCTAGTGCAGGAGCGGGTTTATTTTGGCAAGGTGAAATTTCTGCCTTGAGTACTCAAAGTGCTTGCTTGTTGGCAAGAAGAGAAGTGACTCAACAGTCCTTTGTTTAATCACATCTACTTCTTTTATGGCACTTTCAATCAGTAGATATCAAAGCACTTTACAAAGGAGGTCAGTATCATTATTGCCATTTTAGAAATGGGGAAGCAGAAGCACCGAGCGGGGAAGTGACTGGCCCAAGGTCACCCAGCAGGACAGTGGCAGAGCCAGGAATAGAATCTAGGTCTCCTGTGCTTCCCTTTCTCCCTATACAATGCCTCAGAAGAGCCTCACATTTATTTTAAGTCTCATAAAGGAAACAGGGATAAAACCTACAAGCACCATGCCAAGCAACATGAGGATGGAATGGGTACTGTTGGTATGATGTTCAAGGGCTGAAATAGCCCTCTTTGTAGGATGCAAGTTTGCCCCTGCTGCACTTCTGTTTAGCAGAATTATCATGCTATTGTCTGTGTCAAGACTAAAACTGTAATGACTTCAGTGAACCATAGTGTTTATGTAATGTAATTCTGACTGACAGTAGTGGAGCTAGGTTTTGAGCACTGGTGGAGGGGAAGGATAGGTCATTGGTGGTGCCACTTTCAGTTATACCTATTGGCTTGAAAATGTGCCACACATTCACCTAAAGGCTGCTGCAGAGGCACTGCCTTCCTATTATCTCCACCACTTCCAAGAGAAAGGGTGCTAGTACTAAATCATCTGTAGAGTTGTAGCCCTGGTTTGCATTTCCAAGGCCTTGTGTGTTTAGACCCTGCTGTAAACAAACAAGTAGCACTTCTTACTGGGTCAAGAGCTCTCTGAAAGATTTGGAGCCCTTTGACCCTGCAGGCAGCACAGGTAGTCTAAACCAACCATCTCTACTAGTCACCTAGATAGCAGTGTCCTAACTCATGATCAACCAATAAAAATAACCCCATCAGTAGCACATTATAGAAATGTCAAGAACTTAAAGTACATTAAAATGGATGGAAAGTTCTAAGGGGTCTTGGCCACTTTTGTGGTTAATTCATATTAAAATTGGAAGACAAAAGGCCAAAAAAAACCCTACTATGGAGCTCTTGCTTCTCCGTGAATAAAGTGTTTTGAACGTCTATTAATGTCTAAGGTCTTTTCTACTGAAATCTAATGACTAAACATTTACTGTTCATGAAAAACATGTTCTGAATTAACAAACTGACTATATCAAAACACAAGCATTAAAAGCACTGGAAGCTCTGCCTACAACTATAACTACACTTTTGATATGTACAAAAAAGAGTGACAAATTTGGGACAAATACACTCAGAATATAGTTGATCAGATAAGTATTAAGATTATGTGGAACCAGAAATAAACTTACTGTGCTCCCCTTCCACATTTAACAGTTTGCAAACAAGCTGTTCAAATTCTGATCCAACATTTACATTGGTGCTCCCAGCAGCCACCGTCAAGTGATAAAGCCAAGTGTCCTACAAGACAAAAACAAACAGAACCCAATCATCATTCCAAGCAGATTTTTGAGAGTTTAAAATATTACATGTTTTTATTGAAATTTTCCAAAACAAAGAACTTCAAAAATATTCATTTTCAAAAATTCTACAGATGAATTTGGCACTCATGAACAATATCAATGGCTTCATGCACACAGGTTCTCATGAAAGCTCAGCCAAAACATCTTAATCCTGACTTGCAGCAAACTTTCTAGTCTACATATTGGTGTCTTTTGAGCAGAAAGTGCACTCAAGCCAGATGTGATGAATGTTCAATAGAGACTAGGAAGAGGGCACACACCTAATTTTTTTCACATGTAGCTAAGACAGAATTTAAATGACTGAAAGCTTAATTGCAGTGCACTAACTCACTAAACCACTGAGTCATCTTATAAGAAAGCTTTCCCCCCATCTCAGAGTAGTGCTATACCCTCTTGTGAAGGCCCAACGATTTCCCCTTGTTTTATTTCCCTATCCCTGATCAAGGCCTTATATTACAACCACCATTCATTTTCGCCAAGGAGAGCAGAACTGAGTCAGAGATCATTGAGAGATGGAAAGTATTCCCTCCTCTCTAAGAGGCAAATATGATGTCTTTGTATTAATTATTGCCCTTTCCACCTGGGGAATAAGATCAGGAATCAAAACAAGGTCTACCATACTGTTAAAACTTTTATTTTATAATGTTCTGAAATAACCTCTCTCACATTATTCCTGTTAGTCTTCCCCTTAGTGTACAATAATTACCATTACTGCAGAAAATGGGCAGTAAACTGGATAGGAGTCCCCATGGGAAAATCTACTGATATTTTCCAGATACCATAAATGGGGTCAGTTAACTATAGTGATCACTCAAACTCTGATAAGTATTTGTAAAAGTGTGACCATTTATCTGTTACATCAGACCACCTTCTAGATGGTCTAGCACAGGGGTCAGCAACCTTTCAGAAGTGGTGTGCCGAGTCTTCATTTATTCATGCTAATTTAAGATTTCACGTGCCAGTAATACATTTTAACATTTTTAGAAGGTCTCTTTCTATAAGTCTTTAATATATAACTAAACTATTGTTGTATGTAAAGTAAATTAAAATGCAGAGCCCCCCCGGACCGGTGGCCAGGACCCGGGCAGTGTGAGTGCCACTGAAAATCAGCTCGTGTGCCACCTTCGGCACACATGCCATAGGTTGCCTACCCCTGGTCTAGCAGAAAAGCCCCTTGTCTCTGACTGTCCATATCTTACTCACTATAGAAAATGTTCATATCACAATACCATAGTTATAGCTGTCTTATTGAAACTTAAGGGATAGGGTACATTTACTACCTTTTCATGTTTGGATCCTATAAGAAGATAGGTAGGTCCTTGTTCTTTAGGATGGATAACAATGGTATAATGTGTTGATAATAGACTGCGACCACTGGCCTCATAATCTTCATCTGAATCACACGACCTGTCAACTTCTTCAACTTTAGCCTCCCAAAGCTTGATTTGACCCAGAGGAAACTAAAAGTAAATATAAGAAATAGTCAGGGAGCAAATACGCATCTTGGATAACATCAGTTTTACAGTTCTTGATCTACAAATGAAGAGAAGCTGATAAACTAGCATCAACATGTTTTGAATGTTTGACATTGGGAAAGTCCATAAAAGTCTATTCTTTTAATGTTACTAAGAACTGTAGGGTAAGCCACCTTCCCAGTTTACAATCCCGGAAGAGAGGAAGCGTGGTCTTGTCATTAAAGCACAGTCCTAGGAGTGAGAAGACTTCAGTTCCATGCCCACCTCTGCTTTTTATTTCTACAGGATATATTGTTCTTGACAGTTGCACATAGAATGCGCAACCTACCTGACACAATAGATCTTGTTTGTGGGAGAAGATGCAACCCTTGAGATATCCCAGATCCAATCCATTTGAGGATTCTCAAGCTCAAGACCAGGATGTTGAATTTAAACTTAGGGCATGTCTAGATGTACAGTGCTGCACTGGTGAAGCTGCACTGATGCAGCTCCGTAGCTGCAGCACATCTGGTGAAGATGCTCTTGTGTCGACGGGAAAGCTCTCTCCCGTTGGCATAATAAAACCACCTCCACAAGCGGCAAAAGCTGTCCCGCCGACATAGTGCTTTCCACACCGGCGTTTATGTGGTGTAACTTATGTCACTTAGGGGGGTGGTTTATTCACAGCCCAAGGAACATAAATTCTGTCAACATAAACTGTGGTGTAGACATAGCCTTAATCTAGTATTTGATGGGGTGTCACTGTGGCAACTGGAGCATCACTATTGCTGCCATTGGATCCTTTTCAGTGTCTCCGGTTTAATTCTCAGGTATAGAGGATTGCAGTATTTAAGCCTGGAGGTTACAAATGCATATATGACTATGGCTAAGTCCTCCTCTGTCAGGATGGATCTAGTCTCTCAGTCAGCTGTAGGTGGAAGAAGCAGTTTTTCATAGGTGTAACTATATGGACATCCACTATCAATGAGGAATCCTGAAGGACACAAATACTATATACCATTTTCACAATTAGCAGGTGGGCTTCTGCCCTCTACAGAGGATGATAATATAGTGCTGGCTAGTTTCTTGAAAGATCTCCCTTTCCCTACCTTTGTCCTGCCAAGAGTTAGCATCAGCTGGATGCCTTTTATTGTGATGCTGATCTCCTGGAGATACTGGGATAGCTAATAGATGGCGCTGTTTGAAGGGAAGGTGAAGACGATCTGGGTATCATTTGTGTACTGCTGTTTATCAAGGCTGTGGTGTTTTAAGACCATATATTGAATATGATGGGTGGGGGAAATGAGGCTTGAGGAACTTTCACAGATTAGGGATTTGGTGTCTGAGGAGCATCTTCCCATCACTCTGAGCTCAGTCTGAGAGAAAGGATAGGAACCATTTCAGTGTGCTGCCACATACACTAGCTTAGAAACTGAGATAAACCAGCACAACTTTGTGGTCTATGGTGTCCAACACTGTGGAGAGATCCAGCAAAAAGAGAAGGGATATTTGTCCATGACCAAGAGCAGGTTGTGCACAAGAGCAATCAGCACATTATTTATGGCACATTATTGGGTGGGAATGTTTTTTAAATATCACCAGAGACCAGGTGTAGTTGATGCTGACTCTTTGCCAGTTTCTCAATAATCTTGTTAAGAAATTGGAGATTAGATACTAGGAAGTAGCTGGCAAGTTTGGTTGCATCAAGAATTGTCTTCTTAGATACTGATTGGAAAATGAGTGTTTTAACATGGGTGGTAAGCTGCCCCCATTGAAGAAGGCATTGGCTGTTAGTGAAGGATGCAGATTTCTTGGTTCTTCTTCACTAACCAGAATGGACATGGGTCAAAGATACATGTGCTGGCTTGCCTTTCCTGTAGTGCTTCTTAATTTCTTGCTTTATGAACAGGCCAAATTCTGAGAAAGGGGCTGTTGAATCCTAAGGTTCAGAGATGCCATCTCAGTTCCAAGAAACCATTGTTATGACGTACTTGTGCTAAATAGTATTTTTATTAAACCTAAGTTAGGTTTACAAGAAGCTGTGTTGACAGATGATTTCAGTTAGTGTAATCCTTCTCCATTGTTCAGCACATGGTTTTCAAAATAATAATGCTATTTTGAATCCTTTTAACCAAATGGACTCCATTAATGTAACATATACAGCAGTTTACATTACCGGATGCCTCACAGGCTCTTTATTTCTATACACACATTCCATTGTAATATAAACTTATGTTTTCAGTTAGCAACTCCTCGAATATTGAAAAATAAATCAGTTTTGTAAAACTGCATATGCAGTATTTTTAAAGCACATTCTGCTTGTAAAAGCTGCACTTCCTCCACATTACCATCTAATAAAATAATTGTTCATTTTGGTTTAAAAAACTGCAGTAAAACTTATCCATATGTTAGACAACTATTTATGATGAGCCAGCTAACTGCCTAGATATTTCTAAAGGGCCTGTTTACAAGGAATATTTTTCAAAGATAAGAACTTGAAAATTCTTGTACTTTAAACATACAGATTTCTTACTATAATTAAGGTGAAAACCAATTTGTCATCAAATCTCAGTCAATATTTACATTGAAAATGTAAACATACTTTTTTCTTAGCAGCTTCTCTGTAAAATGAGTTAGAAGTTAATATTCTGAAATGAAAGTGTTACTGGATTTTGGAACATTTCAGAACTGGTATACTTTCAAAGAGTAATATTAAATAAACAAAAATCCTGAAGTATGGCTTATTACTACTTGTTACAATGTACAGTACCATAAATAAGCACTATTTTACTAGTTTAAATTTTCCACTTCCCTTCAGTGACATTACTCACACTGCAAAGTTACTCATATGCCTTAGTGTTGCTAGGATCTGGCCCTAAATTAAGAACAAACAGTAGGAGGCAACAACAGGGAGAAGAAGAAAAAGGGAAGGAAGATGGAGAAAACAATATGCCGGATCTAAAGCCCAGTGAAATCACTATCAAGCCTGGTTACATGCTTGTTTAGGGGGATAATGTATATGTACACTGGAAGTAACAATGGAGGTTCTCTGTGCTGCTTCTGCTATTTTTATTTTAATGGCTTAATGGAGTCAATAGACAGTCAACTGGCTATTGAGTTTAATTTTAACCAGGTTTGAAGTGAGTAAAATAAAATATACTAAAACTCAGGAGTTAACAATAGGATTGCTCAGATATCACCTAAATCCCCATTCTCCATCTCAGCAATGGAGACAATTGGTCAGACCAGAGGGAGAACGTACTGTCCCAGAAGGGGGACGAGGCATATTTCTGAAAAATGTTCCTCCATCTCAACAGGCGATGAGTTGCGATACTGGTTGGATGAGAAAAATGGATGCCTCACTTTCAGAACAGGGGAACGGAATAAAGCATGTGGACATAGATGGAGAAGCTGGGCCCCTCCTCTTCCTCGGGTTCTTGCATCCCACTGGCTGTCTGGGGGAGAGTGGGAGCTGACTGGCCCCTGCACTCCCCCTCCCAACAACCAAAACTTTTCCTTCACCTCTTCAGCTGCCTTGCCCTCCCCCGGGAATTCAATAGGTGCCCTGCCCTCCCTTTAGTTGTAGACAGTGAACTGTGCTCCCAAAAAACAGACAGTCAGTCAAGCCCACAGTATCTTGGAATCAGGAAGGATTTTCACCCCATTGGGCCAAATTGGTAGTGGGCCAGTGGGTTTTTCACTTTCCTTTCAGCACTGTGAAGGCACAAGTGGGGTAAAGAAGAGGACCTGGATGTCTGTATATTAAGGGATAATATAGGAAGGTTCAGTCTGTTGCAACATGAGGCTGATGTACAGGGCAGATAAAAGCTAAAAGGGCCAGCTTCAGAGATCAATGAGACTGAAGATTTGTGCTGGTGAACCTGTAAGGAGAAAAGGAGACCTGAAGTCTTTGTAGACCAAAGTCCCCCCTTTAGTACCCTGAACCCCCCTCGGGAGTGAAAGGTGAGAGGACTTAGAAGTGAGCTGAGTCCAGGGGGGCAGGCTGAAGAGTCTACCCTCAGTTATTTGTTATATGGTAGGAGCCTGTAACCCTGCACTAGGCTCAGTTAAATGCCTGGCGTGAGATGGGTAGGCATATACTACTCATAACCATTAATAAAGTTGCAGCCTCTCGATTAAAAATCCACCCCAATGTCTGTCTTTCATTCACCTGAGAGTCCTGAGCAAACAAGTCATATTATTTTAACCATTAGAAAGACATACCTTATCTTCTTGACTACGGAAATAGTAAAGAGTTTTTCCAACCAGAGTACACCACACTCTTTTGGAGTATCCATGTTTCACCTGAAATTACAGTACAGTTAAGTATAAATTATTTTTAAATGTAAAACTTTTTTATGAGATGGGCCCAACTTCTCAGAACTCTGATGGCTGGAATAAAGAATTCCTGTAAAACATATATATAGATAGATAGATATAAATTTGAAGCTGCATGACTTTCTGTATTACAGGCGTTAGAATTAAAGCATAACAGGCCTGAGTCAAAGCCCATTCAAAACCGCAGTAGTCTTTCCATTGACTCATAAGTATCTACTGTCATTGATATTCTATTTATGACCAAAGGCAGCTGGTTTTAGAAGAGCATATGAAGTGACAGTATTAATGAAACCATGAACTTGAAAAGCTTATTTGTCTCAATGTTTGTACCTACTATAGTTATAAGACAAATACACTTGAAAAATAGGTAGAGAAAAAAGTTGTTCATCTCTATTTTTTCATGTTTGCTTTGTGAATTAGCCAGCATTTGGTCTACAGTCAATTTAAAAAGTTAAAATCCTAAAAAATCTGTTTTATATAAATTTTAATGGAAATATTAAAAGAATCTATGCTTTACTGTAAAAGTAAAGGAATTTAAACAAAAATAAAAGAAAAGCTACAGTTCTAATTTAAACCTATAAAAACAAACCAATTCCTCTGTTTTGTTAATGCTTTACATTTACAAATGTAAACAAATTCCACTATCACCACAAGAAAACCCTTAATGGATTTGAACAAGCTTTGGTAAAAGTTAATTGCTGGAAGGCTTCAGTAGGCTGTCGTAGCAAACCAATTCTACTCATAAGTACAAAATACTGATGATGCTGAGGAGGAGGAGGAGGCACTTTGCTGTGAAACAGCATTGTTAAAAGCAACAGAAGAATTGATTCATCTTTAAATTTAAGCTATTTTAAATTAAGAATGGAAAGTGCAGTTTCTACCACAGTGTAACACTAAACTGAATTCAAGCAGGGTAGAGAATCTGCATATCAAGTGATAAAAATAAGGAAGGTCTGGAATACGTCTGTATAGACCAACATTACACTTTCAATGACTTTGCTATCTTAAATACACAAAGCCCCATCTTGATACTTCAGGCACTAGGCTCAAAATTTTCAAGCACAGGTGACTAACATTACCTACATCCATGTTTAGGGTACTTAAATGAGCAGTCTGATTTTTTTTTTCCAGAGGTGCTGAATGTGAGACCTAAATTTTAAAAAACTGGCCTAATTTTCTGATTACTAGGTAAATAGATTGGGTCAGATTCTCTGCTGTGCCCCAGCCCCTTTGTGCTGCTCTGGAGGTGCAAAGGGACAGGAAAGCAGCTATTTACTGCAGTGTTAAGGCTGCTGTAACCTATACTGGAGCTGGTGTGGAGTCAGGCAGAGAATCACACACTCCACACCAAGTGGAAGGCACAGCAGAGAATCTCTGCCATTAAGGGCTTTTCCACTAGTATCAGTACAATATACAAACATATCGCATATTTAATAAGTAGTTGGAAGGAGTTTCATTCTCCACAGATCAGAGAAGAACCTAAAGGTGAAGCCCCTCGTAAACTGCAATAGTTTCTACATTCCTGTGAATACATTAATGATACGCAGTCCAAGAGCATCTAAATCTGATGAGTAAATTAACCTTAACATAGTATATTCCCTCACTCTACACACTATCCTCATTATCTTGAAATATCTTGTTTTGACTGCTGATGTTGGAAAAGAGAGAGCCCCCTTACACAAATGTTTAAATTGAGGCATGCGCTGAATCAGGGCCCTAATGATGTGCAAACAGAGAATTCAACATGGAAGGTAGTGAATCAAGTGGCCAAATGAAAAAGACTTGCCAACTTAGATTTTTATTACAGTACTAGAGGAGTAGGCAGTCCTGGTTTATTCACATTGTAAGAGACACAAACCTGATAGCATGTCTACTTTAATCTATTTACTCTTATGCTAAATATTTATAGTCCATGTACTTTTGGACTTTAATTTTGGGTACCCCTCAAATAGCACTTTTGCAAAATCACACGAGGGCCAATGCCAAATACTGCAGCCAACTTAGATACTACTGTACAAAGAAGTCCCTGTTAAAGATCCATTCTGCTCCTGTTGAAGCCAATTGGAGTTTTGCCATTGACGTCAATGGAAGGACTGGTTACTAAAATTAGTTTACTACACATGTTTTATACAGTTCTTGTTGCCTTTTTTCACTTAGAGATATTAAGCAGAAATATTTTTAAAAATAAAAACAGAATAAAAATACTTTGTCAGGGAAATAAGTGTCCCTACCTTGGTCAGCAATCCTTTCATGGCTGGCTTCACATCAGGCTGTATGAAAAGTGGACTAGCAGCCTGCACTTTAAGAACATTCTGCAGTACTTTGATCCACTCTTCTAAGATGTTGGGAGAATCTGCAGTCAGGTAGTATGTTCGTTTTTCTGTGATCAACTGAATAGTGACAGAAAAGATGCCTTCAGTTCTAGGAATATTATGCATTTCAACTTATTTAAACAATACACTTATTTACAAATACAAAATATTCGCAACATTTTTACTGTCACTTTTCAGAGTAGAACCGCTTAATGGCCATGCAGAGCAGGCGGCCCCATAGTTGATGAGATCTCATTTGAAAAATCCCCTATAGTAAATTACATGGAATTCATTTTACCTAAGTTGGAATTGCAACTGGTGGCATGTGAATCTGTGATTTCAGAGTGCTTGGAGCACAAAGCCATCCCCTCTGGGTTAATGTTACAGGTAACAATCCTACCTTCACAAGAATGTGAAAAAGATAACCCTATAGAGTCTTTTCTATCTCCAGTTTCTATGACTGAAACAATCGCTCCCCCCTCAGATGGAGGGCACTGACTGCCTCCAAAAGGAGATACATTTGGAGGAAGGGTCACTTTTAGGGGTGAAAAGAGAGGACCCTCTAAAAATACAATGAGACAAGGAAGCACCTGAACTGTTTGTTTTCCATCACCTCTTACAATGTGGCTGGATACGCTTAACTCAATTTGACCTTGTGGCTTTCGAATTACATCACTCTGTGTGAAAGAATGGGAAAAAAAGGATTATTCATCTGTAATAAAATACTGGTATAACACATTTAAGACTTGATCACTGGAAGCATCCAGCATGGGGCAGGCAAACTACAGCCCGCAGGCCACATCCGGCTCGTCAGACCATTTAATTCAGCCCTCAGCTCCCGCTGGGGAGCGGGATCGGGGTTTGCCCCGCACCGCGCGGCTCCCAGGAAGCAGTCGGCATTACTCCCCCTCTAGCTCAACCCCCCTCCAGCTCCTACGTAATATGTGGAGATGTGGCCAGGTGGCTCTGCACGCTGCCCTGTCCGCAGGCGCCGCCCCCGCAGCTCCCGTTGGTCGCGGTTCCCGGCCAATGGGAGCTGCAGGGGTGACGCCTGTGGAGGGGCAGCGCGCAGAGCCGCCTGGCTGTGCCTCGGAGCTGGAGGGGGGACATGCTTCTGGGAGCTGCTTCCGGTAAGTGCCGCCCAGAGCCTGCACCCGAGCCCTCCCCCTACGATCCAGTCCCCTGCCACAGCCCTGATCTCCCTCCCACCCTCTGAACCCCTTGATCCCAGCCCAGAGCCCCCTCTTGTACCCCAAGCCTGTCATCCCCAGCCCCACCCCAGAGCCCTCACCCTCCCGGTGCTCCAACACCCTGATCTCCATCCCACCCTCCGAACCCACTGGTCCCAGCCCGGAGCACCCTCCTGCACCCCAAACTCCTCATCCTCCGCCCCCCCCCCGAGCCCACACTCCCAGCCAGAGCCCTCACACCCCTCCCCGGTACCCCAACCCCCTGCCCCAGCCCTGATTCTCCTCCCACCATCCAAATCCCTGGGTCCCAGCCTGGAGCCCCCTCCTACACCCCAAGCATGTCATCCCCAGCCCCCCCCCCGAGCCCCCCCCCCCTATCCCAACCCGGAGCCTCCTCCCGCACCCTGAACTCCTCATTTCTGGCCCCACCCCAGAGCCTGCACCCCCAACCGGAGCCCTCATCCTCTCCCACCCCTGACCTAGCAGGTACGGTGCCCTCAAATCCCATAAGATAAAAGTTGAAGGTGCTCAACAGTTTGAGGGACTGGGCACTTTATTATGAAATGTTTAATTTAATGTATTCAAATGAAGAAATGTATTTTTCCATCTGGCAATTTTAGAGTCATTTAGAGGAATCAGGAACTAAACAGCAAACACGTTACTCATACTCACCGGAGATTTGTAGTACAATAACTCACCACCTTTGAGCACAAACCATCGGCGTTTCCAGGTTTTTACTTTGCCACCCATTTTTAACAAATATCCAGATTTTTCCAATGGCTCCTGATTATTTAAAATAAAAAATAAGGTATGTAATATATTATAACAAGGTATTTTGCCAAAGAAAAAATGCCTGCATGGTAAATAATAATTATTACAATACTTTGCCTTTTTATAGTAGAAAGATCCAGTTTTTACATGCATTAAGATTCATGCATGTGAGATAAAAAAGTATTTTCCCTATTTTACAGTTAGACAGAGGTACAGAGATTTGCTCCAAGTCACACAATAAGAGCTAAGAACAGAACCCAGGACTCTTGATTCCCAGACCTAGGCTCTAAGCATTATACAACATTTTAATTAAATAATAATGAAAACATTCTACATAAAGCTTGTAATTTTAAAACTATATATGCTCAACCCCTAACTTCTGGACCTAACCTACTGACCAGTCCCAGAGAATTGTAATTCCGCAGCTGCACACAAACACACCTTCAGTGCAAACTCCAGCAAAATAAAGCTCAAGGTTTTGCTCTGTCAGGAATTGAGTGATATGGTCCTTATCCCCAATCAGCCAAGCGGCTTGGATACCCAGGCCACCACCACTAATACAAGCTGTAGTGAGGAATACAGATGCAGCCTGTTACCCTACACTGTGGGTTTGGATTCTGTGATCTGTGCAGTCTGCAGACCCACTGACCACACATCTGATATGCTCACAGTCCCCCACACCCTATGTGAGGAAGTTGCAGACACCCCATCCATGGATATCTTCTGTACTTTGTACAGGGTGGTACTTAATTCTCCCCACCCCGACTCTCTAGTGGGTTCTCTGCTGTTGCTGCTGAGGCCGCCACTCTGTACACCCAACCTGGTTCTTCTACACTGTGTTTAGATATTTCACACTCAATAGGTCACCCCAAGTGTCTGATTTGTTACAGTCATCATATGGGTCATTTAATGAATCTGAATACATTGCTACTTGTAATCATTACACTGTGTGCCAAGCAAACTTAGTACTGGGCTTTGTTAACATTCGGTGTAGAAGAAAGAAATACTATTATTCTTTGCATAACTTTGGTACTCACATTTTTTCCATTATCACTAGATGAGGAACAGGTTTTAGGGAGTTTCTGCTCTGGCTCTGAATAGTCTGTATCTGTTGAGTAGGCATCAGGGGGAATAGCATAGTCGCTTTCTGAGGTCATAGAAGACAAAGACACACCTGAGCGAAAAAGCAAAAAAGATGCCATGTATATATTTCTTGCCATCGTATTTTAGACATAAAAAATCGGGCATGGGTATGGAGGGAACAGCCGAGCTGGGAGTTGTTGACAAGCTAAAATATTAATAGCATTCCAGTGGGAATTAAATATTTTTGATGAGAATATCAAGCAGTGCAAGTAAATTCCTTAAAAGTAATATCAAAGTGTTTATTTAGGAATTTGGAAATGCTCCTGGCACATAAACATAAAGAATGCAAGGAGCAATGTGAAAAATGTCATGTTCAAGAACATGATTAAAAGCAATTTAATATTTACTGATTGTAAAATATTCTTAAATTTCAACTTAACTGAACTCAAAGCAGAATGTATATTGGGATAAATTAAAATTCCTCATATGGTCTACAGTTTTCAGCTACTGGAAAATAATTATTTAAACAGACCATTCTAAGTCATCAACTTTGGAAGGCTTATTTGACTTTCAAGTGAAATCTGCAGCCACTGAAATTTACAGGGATCGATTCTTGGTTCCTCTGTGCAACTGCAGCAATGTAAAGGTCATTAGAATGCTGTAGAAACTCCCGGAGAAAACCTTACAGCGTAAGTGGATTCCCAAATGATGTAGAATTGCTGCAAAAACATTATCCCTTCCATCTCTACACCTCCAGCGTTAGGGGCAAGCCAGAGCACTCCATACTTTAGCTATTCTCAGCTGGTGGAGAGCACCCAGGGAGCCATACCAGCCAGAGCACAAGTTAGAGCAGCCCTAAGGCTGCCAGGAGCCCATCATTAATGTCTTCACTTCCATAAATCAGGTTCATGTATATGACAATGTCTCTTTGTCACTCTCTAATCTTCAAAAACAGTGTTCTCTAGCTCCATCTCTCTCTGACAATGTGCATAAGAGAGTGGTCCTCAGCATCCCAACAATCAAATTGAATTAAACCATGAAACGGGGATCCACAATATGAACAGGCTGTTAGTTATGAATTAAAACTAAAATTATTCCAAACAGGTGTGCAAACACTCCAGTAAGAAACAAAAATATAATACTGCCATATCCTGTTATCACTGCTTCATCTAAGAGCAAGATATCAAGAGAATCTTACTTTCAAAGGAACAAAATTCCAAAGGAAATAATTCAGTGATTCCATAAAACCTCCAATTGACTACACTTGCCCATAATTTCAACAACCACAGATCAAATATTAATTTTCTACCCAAAACACATTGAAGCCCATATTCCTTACAATCAAATGGGACTACTTAATGACTTATGAATGAAGGAAAACATTTAGAATCTTGTTTAAAACACTTAAATGTTTATATATATAATCTTTTAAATGCCATCAGATTTAATTAGTTCTGTTAAATCACCACACTTAAGAGTTCTGCAGTAGATCACTAGCATTTCTGTACATCATATTACGTCTCTGTTTATTTTTTGGTGATCAAGTGTAGGCTCTTCATGCTAAACTATACATAATTTTTCTTTACTTCTTTTTCTTTATCATCTGGTCCTCTCAGGTAGTTGCCTGTATGGTAGATGAATTGCCCAAAGGTCTGTCATGTGGTTAGACTGTAGATGGGCTGTCTAGGTTGCCTTTCCCTGCCACTCTTATTTTCTTTGACTTGCAATGAATGTGGGGAATTTTTGTACTGAGTCAGTTATGAATAAGAGCCTGTGCAAATTTTTCCCTGCTAAAAAACTGTGTATTCAAATCCAGTTTCAGAATAAAAAAAAGTTTTAGCCCATGTCCACCTGCTTCTATGAAAAACCACATCCGATTTTTCCCCTGAATGATTCACTAATATTAAAACAAACTCTTTGCTTATTCATCATAATGGAAAAAAAACACTCATTTTCAAATGTGAAACAGTTTCCTTTTGAAAAGATTTACTTAAATCTACTGTTCAACTTTGAAGAGTTACTGTGTAACATTTGCTCTGTAGCATTCTGTTTATTTTGTTTGATTAATTCCATATATTAGCTGATTTTACAAATAAAAATATTGTTTTTGTAACTTCCAGACCTGCAAATTCATCTGGGTTTTGAGAGTCAAGCTGGGCTCTTTCCTCCTAAAATAATATCAGTAATTATGATACTATAGGCCAGTATACCCTTAGTTTTACCTGCGCAATCCCACAATCTTCAAATTATGCATTATAAATAAGAACACATGTTAAAGGCTGTGAAGAAAGACTTCTGAATGTGAAACAATGCAGGGCTATCTTCTTGAGTCTCCAGAGAGACAGCATGAAATAATGGGCCAGATTCCACTATTGCCTACAATATTGTAAATCCGCAGTGATTCTAATCCATTCAACTAAGTTAGATTGGTGTAGAAACTAGCGTGAGAAGCAATTCAGGCCCAAAGCTTCGACGGGTATCAACTTAGCTATCAGCAAAGATAAACCTGGCAGGGAAGTGAGGGAAAGACTTTAAGCCCTTTTACACTAGTGAAATCCAACTACAGCATGGATTTGCACTGGCACAGCATAGGTGTAGCTATATAGGAGTAGCTACATCAGTGCAAGTAAGCCCTTAGATATCTTAGAGGGCAGTGGGCATGGTAGAGAAATTTGGTATGAGAGAAACAAACCCAGCCAGGGAGGGCTTCAATACTTGCCAGAATAGGAGCACTTTAACAGTTATATTCTGTTTCACCCTATTAGAGGACCAACCAACCAAACCAAATTGGGGAGAAAGAATTAGGTTAAGGACAATTCTAGAAAACAAGAATGTTGTATACATTCTATGCAAGGCACATCATTATTGTGGAAACTTAACGGGGGCCTGTGGTTGGCACTCAAATTCTGTTAATCCATTGACTACATGTGCCTGAGTGTGACATAAGTGAAACTCTAGTTAGTTAGCCACTGACCTTGTCCAATCAGAGTTAGTAAATAACAATAATATTTTGATATCTGTATCACTATACTATCAGAGGATCTCAAAGCAATTTACCAACAGAAAAGAAAGCCTCACTTCACCCCTGTGAGGTAGGTAAGTGCTATTCCCTTTTTGCAGATGGGGAAAACACAAGCAAATGGAGGGTAATAGACACTTGTGTGCCAGGGACTAACTTCAGCTCAGCCTCTTCCTCTCTTTGCACAGGTCTCAGGGGATGCACTGTAAAACTGACTGCTTTAGAGGCAGAGAGGATGGAGAATGCCTTTAAGAAGGTGGGCTTCACACTCTGAGATCACAGAACTGAACTGAATTCCTCTGCTGTCTGATTAGGTTAAATTATTACTTTTGTATTATAAACTTAAGGAAAAGATTTTGCTGACTCTCACTATATTTTTCTGCTGAGTTATTCCATCTAGTTACAGTCAAAAGTCACGGAAAATCCATGACAGGGCAGGGAACAGAACCCAGATCCCTTGACACCGCACCTTGTGCTTTAATCACAAACTCATCTTTCCCCTCAAATGACAAGAAGATACTACAGTAATGCCTTAGAAATACATATAAGTATTGGTAGTCATAAAAAGGAAAGCTGCCCATTCTCCTGCCAGTTTGCTTTGGTTTCAGCTTTGACATGTGAAAAGTATAACAAACAAGCTAGATCCATGTTCAAGGCATCCATATTTTCAAAAGGAGAAATCCATTGATATAAAGAATAAACATTGCACATGCTACAAATCATATTAAGCGTCTCAAAATATTTGTTTTTATGGTTTCTGCCCACCTCGTTTCATGGCCCTGGGGCTACCTGGGCCACTTCTACTTCGAGAGTCTGATTCTGAGGTTCGTGAGCTGGATCGGGAGCTGTCTTCTTCCTCTGATCCCGAAGAGTCATCTAAGAATGGTCTGTTGCTTATTTGAGTTGCTTTCTACAGAAATTAACACACATTCTTTGAAACTTTATGCAAAATATACTATTTTATGGATGTGTTTATTTTATTGGCTTTTAAAACAGCCTACTGCTGCAACAGGCACTATAGATGCCTACCATGCTAAAGATTTAATTGCAACAATTAAAACAAAGCAAAACCAAATCAAACCCCTACTACCAATGATATACATCACCCACAATAAAGGGTGGTATAAATACTAAAATTATTGGCACTAGCATTGTTGCCAGGAAATCTTACTAGGCCAACTACCACAAGAGATGTAAAACAAAAAAAAAAACCAAAAAACGCAAATTAAACCAGCTTAAAAATACCTAAACTTTACCTTGTGCCCCAGTACCCACCAAACTTTCTCTCTGGTGCACCAACAAGAAAACATAAGTATGAGGATGAGTATATTTCACTTTACAAATAAAACTCAGAGGGTATGATTTAGCAGCCACCTATGGTCTAAGTTCTGCTTGAAGGTGTGCACTACTGCCTGTTGGAGAACCTGTGTTCCGGCAGACTGAGGTGGAGCCAGGTTGGCTAACTCAAAACTATGGTGAGGCTTCTCTATAGGCCCTCATTGAAATTAACACTGGGGGAATGTTCTGAGGCAGGGCTAAAAGTGAGACAGCACTGATCCAACATTAAACATGCATGTACAAATGACTCCTGTTCTTGGCAGGAATCATTTGCACGGCAGGGTGTGTGTGGGGTCACTCCTTGACAGAATACAGAAACTCATTAATGCTTTTGCAGCATGTGTATCTGCTAGGGTTGCCAACTTTCTGACCGAACAAAACCAAACACGCTTGCCCTGCCCCTTCTCTGAGGCCCCCAGCCCGCTCACTCCATCCCCCCTCCCTCCGTCACTTGCTCTCCCCGACGCTCACTCGCTCATTTTCACCAGGCTGGAAAGGGTTGGGGAGGGTCCCTTTTTGACCAGGTGTTCAGTTGAAAACTGGACACCTGGCAACCCTAGTTCTGCCAGTTTCATCAGGAAAGGGTATTCTGCTCAATTACAATATTTGGCTCTGTATGACATGATCCTGTACATTCAATAGTTACACTGGCAAGTAATGGGCTTTGTGTAGGGGGCAATCAGTAGCAACAATCTGTAGCAATCAGCCCTCCTTGTCCCAGGTTATAAAATGCCAGCGGAGCCACTCCACAGATCCTACTGCAGCTTTTCATGGAGGGGGTGGGTTTGGCTCCCATTTACATCAGACCCACCAGTCACATAGCTCTGCCCTGCCACACCCCAAATTCCTCTGCATGCTACAGCAGATAAAGCTCTCATGCAGCACAGCTCCATGGCATATGGAGGATAGGGATGGCCTTTATGGGCTCTTAGCATCTGCATTACCTCTGCACAGCACTGGAACTCTACTGGTTCCACTGCATTTAGATTGTACTGCAGTTCTTTCTTGGGCCCCAGGATTCGGCACATAAGTAGCAATATTCAACTGAACCCCCCCAACACCTATCTATTACATCATTTCTGTTTAAAAACATACATCTCTTCAAATTACAAGAGGCTGCCATGAAACAAATAATGTTCTGATTAGATTCTGCAAGCTTCTGAAAACAAATAGCTTTGGCATTGACACAAAGATCCTTCTAGATCTAAACGTGTAATTACAGCATTGCACACAATGCAGCTCTTTCAATAATTAACAAGGCCTGGGAAAACCAGTAAGGGCCACAACAAAAATTGACACAGGCTTGTAACACTTTATAAGCAACAACAATTTATTTTCTGGACATCTGACATTTCCATTACTTCTGGTTTTTTTATGGTCTCTAAACATGATCTTATGACAAATTTGGCAACGTGCCATCAAGCATAAAATGCCAAGTTCTTGAACGTGGAGCCTAACAGTATGGCTTTTCACACAACTTTCTTTTAAACAACAATAAAATTACCCCTTTCAGAGTTGTGTAGACTGGAGTGGTCATGTTGTTGTATATCAAAGAAGTGTATAGTCCAGATATGGTATACGAAGTTATAGAAGCAGTACCTGAAATACATAGCATAAAACACATTTTTTTAAAATTACCCTTCAAAATTATTTAAAACATTTGGTTGGATTCTGATGTCACACCACTGTAGTTTTATTGTCTTCACTTCAGTTACTCCTAAATTATACTGGAGTAATGGGGTATGAGAAAATCATAATCAGGACCACTAGTCTTTTTGTAACGTAAGTACATTCTCTCTCTTTTGATGTCTGGTTATATAATCTTCACCAAAGAAAGTTATAGGGAATTAAGGACTATAATGAATTTGTACTTAAGAGGCAAGTATTCAAGAATAGGTGATAGAAATAATGGAAAGGTTAAATCTGTTTTACCATATCTTAAAGAAAAAATCCAAAGAAATCTTCAGAGGCATATTTTAGAGGCACCTGGGACAACTGGCCCCTTATAAATTACAGTAAGCAGAGGATTTTGGCTGTTGGTACAAAGACCCACTTACTTTTGTTAAAAGAGTCCATGTTGAAAGCTTCAGACATTCGTAAACCTGACTTGGCTACAGCATAAATTCTGCTTTCCTAACATAAAAGCAGAGATGTTTTACTGTAGATATTAGGAAATGAAAGGTATTTCTTCCTCAAACCTCCCCTTTGCCCTCACACTGCTACAAATATGTGATATAGCAGAGTTATCAATGGTGGCTGAAATGTGACATTGTCTACACCACTCACCAGACCAGTGGTTTCTTTCAACCTTTTCCCATACAACTCTTTCCTGTGTACTAGGGCGTTCTTTGCTTTGAATACTAAAATCAGTTCCTCAAAGAGTAACTGGGAGAGGACATTCTATACTAGAAGACTAGATGTTATCTACAAAGGGAGGCTATGAAAGTAGCTTTTCACCAAAAGCTTTTCAAACTATGGTAGCAAAAACCCATAATGAAAAACTTCACATGCACAAACTGTTAAAGCAACATTAAAGTATAGTTCATCTCTGACCTAACCCCACAGCACCAACAGGCCAGGTACTTGTATTACCCTATGATTTCAGATTCTGCACTAGGTGGGCATAACAAGGTAAATCATTGGCAAAAGAAGACTTTACATTCTCAGCCTGGAAGGAGCTGGCTCAGAACTAAATAATTTTAAGGAGAGGATTAAAACAAAGTATTAAAGTCTGACCCCTTGTGTCATGATGTAAAATTTGTATATTAATTCTCTTACATTTTAAAACATTTTTTTTTAAATATCTCACTGGAAGTGTAAAATTCTTCTGTAATCAGTGAATTACTACTACTACAGATTAAGAAATTTCTCTGAACAACCGACGGGACTAACAACTTCTTTAAATATGGTCTGTTGTGCCAATCTATATTTACAATTCTTTAATTCACAAATTATTGGCCTGGATTGTATTGCCTAGTTTTTAGAGCAAAGGACTTGGAACCAGGACTCCTAGGTTATACAGTCATAAAAAAAAGTCAGTGGTTAGAGTCATTATCTAACTGGGTGTGCACAAATGAACACATGAAAATTAGATATGACTTTTTCAAAAATTGGTTCTCTACATACAAAAAAATGGCTATGTATTTTTATATGGCATTTTCAAAGCAAAGAGCTCATCAGCCCATGAATAGGAGAATGGCTGTTGAATGTATGCCATTTAAATATTTCACTGATATGATTTATTCCGTATTCTTCTGCAAAAGAAAAAATACAAGATCCTAGAATAGGTGTTAAAATTGAACTTGATTCTGAGGAGTTGATAATCTCAGTTGGTGTTCAGCCAACAAATCATATTCCCACCATAGACACAGGGAATGAGAAAGGTACAGGAGAGAAAAGTGTAATAAAAGCAACAAAATGAGTTAATTTAAATCAGTAAAAAATATTTAATTATATTTACCCAGGAGGGGAATCGATGCAGAGGAGGAGTAGGGGGTTTGTTGCTAATTGCCTTCCTTGTTATATCACTGGACTCCTGGTCTTCTGCACTCTGTGCCTCAAAAGAGTCATAGGTAAATGCTCCATCATAATCAATCTCCATTTTCTCTAAAATGTCAGTATTTTCCCCATCCACCAGGTCGATGTCTGTTTCCTGAGGTCTCAAGGGCCGTATCATGCTTATAGCATTTCTATTTCTATCAAACATTCTGTCAGAACTCAGCTGGGGTTGGCTTAAGTGCTTTTTTGCCAATGCTACACTTATACTAAAAACGTTGGGAGTCCGCAACTTTGGAGGTGGCAAATTTGATGGAGAATTTGATTGTGTCACACACTGAGAATCTGTTGAAGATGTCACGACTGGATGCTTAGGTATTAGAGCAGGGGTTAAAATTGGACTTGGGGTATTTGCTTCACTGGATGATGATGAATAATCTAATCTCTGAGACTGAAATTTCTTATTCAGTTCATCTGAAGAGCTATCTTGGTCTTTTCTATGTAAGGCCTCAGAATTGCTCTTTCCAAGTGGATTGTTCTGACTTTTCCGCTGAGATCCTTGCTGCCAGGAATACAGCTTTTTGTGCTCGGATCTCTGAACTGCAAAACTCTCCTCTTCAAATAAAGAACTACTATCGTCAGATGCTGTCAAATACATTTCACTCCCAATTCTGCTGTATCTTGTGCTTTCTTCAGATGTCTGACTTGAAAGGGTAGATGCACGCCTGGATTTTGGTCTTTTATTACCTCCTTCATCCTCATCTGAGCTCCAGTCACTTCCTGTAATGCATGAGTTCTTTGAAATACTACTATCTATATCTTTTGATGAATAGCTTGTTCTTGTATTTTTATTTTGTTCTGATCCACAGGAGCTTTGTTGTAATGACCTCTGACCTTTATTGCTCTCATGTGCAAGAGCAGCAAGAGATGTTTGCTGGATTTTTTTCTCTAGAAAAGAAATACATGAATTTGACAAAATTACTTTTAATAAATTTAGCTGTTAAAGCAATTTATAATCAGAACTGCAAGTTTAATGTAGTTAAAGTTAAGTTCATTTAATTTTTGGTGCATGTTGTAAAAACAAACCTGAAGGAAAATACTACACATATTCTGGAATGTCAATAGGGATAGTTATGAACATATACTTGAAAGAAAGTAGAAATGGCATTTACCAAGGAACTGTAACAGAAACCATTCTTATATTTAGTGGTCTATCCAAAAAACTAAGGATAATAATGATGAATAGAACAAGAAGGGAGAGCGAGATGTGCCAAACTTTAAAAGAAACCAGATATGCAAAAATTTTTATGCTGAAGAGGACACATGCACTTACCCACATTAATAAATCTTAAAGATTATAAAGCTTTTCAAATGTAGGAAAGAAAAAGTGTGAAGATTAGATTAAGAATCAAAATATTCTGAGTTTCTATGTTATAGTTAGAAATCCCTTCTGCATGCCACTGTTTCACTCCCAGGGCTGAACACTTAAGACCCACTGATGTCTCAAGGAAAATGTTTAGGAAAAGACATTCTGTTCAGATATAACTCTGCTTGTATTGTCTGTAACTCTTTCCCCCATTTTTGTTATTACATTAAAACATGATCATTTAGAGTTAGTGTATAGCACTGCTGTCTAGTGGTTAGAACAGGATACTTGGACTCTGGTGAATAGGTTCTGTTTCTGACCCTGCCACTTAAAACTTTGTCCTTCAGTTTCCTCATCTGTAAAAATGAGATACGTATTCACTTTTGTAATGAGCTTTAGGATCCTTGAATGACAGGGTCTATAGAAATATTATCTGTCCCAACTGCTCATTTCCTATTTGGAACAGGACAATTAGCAGCTGTAAAGTAAATTTGATGTCACAAGCAATGTTTTAAGACTTCAAATGGGGAATAAGAAGTAGGAGTAACCATCCTATTTTCTCAGGGAGTCACGGTCTCCCTGCTGCTACAAAGAGGAAATAAACTACATTGTGTCTATATCTGTCACAGTGTACTCACCCCAACGTGTCGGCATAACTATACCACTGGGCAGGCACATTGCGGTGGGGAGAGGGTGCAGAATGGATTCAAGCTGGTGCAGTTGCAGAAAATGGTGGTAAAGTGCACAGGCACAGGGAAGGGGGTGTCTTATGCTACTGCTTCTTTGTGCTAGTATTCAGGGCAAGCCATTATCTCACCCATTTTAATTACAATATATTGAGTTTATCTTGCTGAGCTTGGGTTTAAAATTGACATTAGGATAGCAGTGCTAACATATAGAAAACAAATGGAAAAAGTGAATGCAAAAACTTAGAGTGAATATTTAATTTAGCTCATTCCTTCATGAACTTTAAAAAGAAATCTCTTGAAGTTAGACCCTAATCTTGCAGTTGAAACCAAAGGGGCGGAGCCCTGCACCTGTGCAAAGCCCAGAGACTTGTGAAATTCTGCAAAGTCATAAAGGTCTGCCACAGCAGATCAAATTGCAAGACTGAGGCCTTAATACTGCTAGATGTTCTCCCTACCTAGAGTATGTTAATTAAGAGTGTAGGCTGAAATTGAAGTCTTAAATCAAGTAATATGTATCAATTGAAAAACAAATTGAACATATATTTAGATGGATTTCATTATTTTTTCTTGTCAACTAACAGCTCTGAGTATATCCCCTCATTACAGTTAATTTTACAACCTCTTTTGCACTATATGGCTGCATCTTGTTTTCTGATATTACTGAAATTAATGAACACTATAGAATAAATTGGGATAATCTAATCCAAGGCCCAAAAGCAACCTCCTCTTCTAAAGGTTACAGCAGTGATCCATTAGTGTATGCTAACAGCAAAATATTTAAGCAATATACTAATTCTACATCAGAAGATTTCTAATAATACAGACTGTCTTGCGAGAGAGATGAGTGTGAAACAAAGATTACACAGTGTCCTTTTTGAAGTCCTTTTGTCCTATTTTGAAGAAGACTATTCTTGAACATAGCTATGTTTAAAGCAATTTTAATTTCCCACTAATTTCTTCCAGAATAAAATTAGATCAGGGATAAATACCTAATATGTTATTACCGTCGCTTAATTCTGATTCTTTACATGATGATTTGTTTATTTCATCAAATTTAATAGCTTGCTGAGGACTTCTTGCTCTGTTCAAAAAGCATCCAAAAGTCAAACTGCTTAGTCGCTGGCCTTCCCCAGGTTTATGTGTTGAAGGGACACATTTCTTCCCCATAATTTCTGCAAGTGTAATAATTCATAAATTTAGTGTTAACAGATTATGACGGCATATGCTAATAGGTTTTACTCTTACACAGTCTTAAGTATATTATCGTTTTTAAAAACCGTAATAAAACTAAATATTTTGATATTAGAAATAAAAACCTTCTTGAAATCCTCTCTATACCAAACTCGCAAACTAAATTTCCACTTACTAAAGAAACATGATTCTCCATCTAGAAAGAAAAGAGGGGAGAAAAACAATTTATTTTAAAAAGTTTACAACAGAAAGATGTATTTTGGGAGAGAGAGAGTAAAAAAGATAGTGACAATAAAGTCACAGCAGAATAACCTTGGGTATTATGTTTGCAGTTCAGCCTACATATCAATCCAGTATACACCCAAACATGATAAAAGCAGATCAACTTTAAACATGCAAGGATTTAAATGTGTTCCATATTTCTTCAGATTTTTGAAGGATAATTGAGAAGAATAGGTCTAAAATAAAAATTAGGCTCAACCTAATGACACTCTCTTCTAGAAAAGGAAAATGTTCACTAATCAGAGCTAGGAAACTCTTTGTGACAAAAAAACTATAGACTGATAGCTTTAAAAAAAATGTGGTAACTCCTACTCTAAACACGAAAAGAGTAAAAAGAGAGAACTGTCAAGATCTTTGTGATAGAGTCCTCCCAAAATGGCTGGATAAAAAGGCAGAACTGGATTAGATGTCCTATGGTACAAAATATAGCCACAATACTAGTAATTTAGGAAAAACACATAGTGGATCTTCCGGATCACCGGGGGATCAAGAGCACAATTAAGGAAGACAAGGACATTATTAAGAAGCTACATGGTTTCTTTGCATCTGTTTTTACCACAGAGGATGATACCTACCCCAGACCTGCTCTTTTCTGGTAATAAAGACAAAATACTATCAGACACTGAGATGTTAGAAGAGGTGCTGGAACAAATTGATCATTTAAAAAAAATAAATTACAAGGCCTGAATGGTATAGATCTATGAGTACTGAAGGAGCTGAAGTATGAAGTGATCGAGGTGCTAGCAAAAATGTGTAATCTCATTTAAAAAACAACTACTCTACTAGAAAACTGGAATATTTTAAAAAGCTCTATGGGTGATCTGGGAAAATACAGACCAGTAAGCCTTACATTATTACCTGGTAAATGGGTTGAAACTATAATTAAAAATAGAAGAAAACATCTGAAAGATCATGATCATTGATATGATAGGATCTAACCGGCATGGTTTCTGCAAAGAGAAATTGTGTCTCACTGATCTCCTAGAGCAGGGGTGGGGAACCTGCGGCTCAGGGGTCGGATCCGTCCCGTTGCTTATTTCATCCAGCCCGCGGTAAATCTCCACACCGTGGGCCGGAAGCCCCAAGCCTCGGCGCCTAGGCGGAGGGGCAATCAAGGAAGCTCCGCACGCTGCCCCCGCCCCCAGCGCCAGCTCTGCAGCTCCCATTGGCCGGGAACCACGGCCAATGGGAGCTGCAGGGGTGGCGCCTGTGGGTGTGGGCCATGCACACTGTGCAGAGCCCCCTGGCCCCTCCGCCTAGGGGACGGACATGGCGGCCACTTCTGGGAGTAGTGTGGAGCCCTGGCAGGCAGCGAGCCAGCTTTAGCCCCGCTGTGCCGCTGACCGGGAGCCGCCTGAGGTAAGCGCTGCCTGGTCAGAGTCCGCACCCTGAATCTCCTGCCCCAGGTCAGAACCCCCTCCTGCACAGAAACATCCTCCCAGAGCCCACACCCCGCATCCACTCCTGCACCCCAACCCCCTGCCCCAGCCCTGAGCCCCCTCCTGCACCCAACTCCCTCCCAGAGCCTGGACCCCGAACCTTCTCCCACATTCAACTCCCAGCCCTGAGCCCACTCCTGCACTTCAACCCCCTGAGCCCCCTCCTGCACCCTGAATCCCTTATTTCTGGCCCCACCCTGGAGCCTAGGGGAAGCCCCAAGCCTCTGCGCCCCCACATGGGGCTGGAGCCACGAGTGCCAGCTCATCCCGCTCTGAGGGAAGCCTCGAGCCTCCATGACCCCCACCAGGGCTGTGTGGCCTGCGACAGATTTTTTTTTCTGTGGGTCAGTGGCCCCTGATAGAAAAAAGGTTCCCCACCCCTGTCTTAGAGATCTGAGGATGTCAGTAAAGTAGTGGATAAAGGAGAACCAGTTAACATAATTTATTTAGACTTTCTAAAGGTCTTTTACAATGTGCTTCACAAGACACTACTAAAGGAGCTAAGTAGTCAGTGGTTGAAAGGCAAAGTATTGTCATGGATCCAAAACTAGTTAAGAGACAGAAAATTAAGGGCTGGAATAAACAGTCAGTTTTCATCACGGTAAAATGTTAACAGCTGTGTGCCTCTAGGTTCCATGCTAGGTTGTGAGTTATCTAATATATTAATTAATCATCTGGAAAGGGAGTTGAGTAGTAAACTAGCAACATTTGCACATGACAAAGTTACTTAGGTTAGTCAAGTCCAGGGAGGACTGTGAGGAAGCTCGGTGAGTAGGTGAGACTTACAGAAGGGTAGGTGAACTGGCAACATGATTGCAAATAAAATTCAGTGTTGACAAATGCAAAGTAATGCACATTGGAGGAAAAAATTTAAATACTCAGAGATCTTACAGGGTTCTTAGTTAATTGTATCAACTCAGGAAAGGGACCTGGGTGTCACTGTAGACAACTCAATGTGTGCAGCTGCGGTTAAAAAAAAGAAGCTGATCAGAACTCTGATCCTCAGCATGGCATAGACTGGTGGGCCAGTTCAACAATGATATCCACCTATCCTTTAATGTTTCAAAGTCTACAAATCATACAATTAAACAAGTCAAAGGGAGGACATGAAACAATCCAACCCAATCAGATTATTTGAGAACTTATTTAATTTAAGAAAATATTCATACATTCAGAAACAAATGACTATTTATAAAGGTCCAAATACTTCTTGCCTTACTCATTCACATGTAGTGCCAGCAAAGTCTAAAGTCAAATGGTCCATGGGACAAATTCCCATTGAAATCAAAGTATTCCATGAGACTACTCAGATGCATAAAGTGAGCAGGATTTACTCCTATGCATTACTATATAAAACTTAGAGCAAATTTCAAAGGACATGTGCTATTTACCTTGCAGTTTAGACTGCATTGTTCTCATCTCTTCATTTTGGTTTTGGTTGATCAAGCGAAGGTTCTGATTTTCTACCTCTAACTGAAAGGATATAAATTTAAACTCCTCCATTAGTGAAACAATTTTTCAAGTCATTACATTGTGAGGGAAGACACAATTTTCTTGCCATTTCCTTTTGAGCTAAATAAGAGCAGCAGCAGGGCTAATCTTAATTGAGGCCTAATATTATGGATTTGTTCATTCAGAATAGTATGCGTTTTCTATGATAAACATTCTTCCCACTTTTGTACTTTAAGTATATAGCCATTTAACTAGCTTTATGTATATACAGAGATGTCAATATATAATAATTCACATATTAGCTACTAAAATATTTCACTTTGTGCTAGATTGGCTTTTTACTTTTAATGGCAATTCAAAATGCATTAAACATGAGGGTAGGAGCAAATGCTGGGGGCCAAAAATGGCAGCCTGTGGCCCCAGAGGACCTTTTATTACCCCAAGTGAGAGGCAAGGAGTGACAATGAGTCCCCCTTGTGTCCTCCAAACTAAGGAATAGCGAGTTCTAAGCAGAGACAGTGCCACCCCAAAGCCACCCAACACTCACATGAGCACTTTGTGCAATTGAAGGGGGAAGAGGGAGGCAAAGCACGTGTCCCTAAGAAGCCCAGGAATGGCCATCCCCCAGGCTGGCCTAATCGAATTCCCTTTTCTCTCATGCCTCCACTGAGACAGGGAATTTTGAGGTTTTTTTCCTTTTAGGCCTAATAAATACAGCACCACAGGAAAATGGTAGACATTTTTCACTGAGATCTCTCTCCTTGTATGACACAGAAACTCTGGCCTGTTACACTATGTGTTCACTGTACGGTAAATATCATAGGAGACGTCTCATACCTCATGGAGCTTGACTGTCACCCATTCTTTTATTTTAGCTGCTTTTTCTTCTATGATTTTTGCCTCTTGTATTCTGATTTGCTTCTGAAATAGTAAGATAAAATATATTTTCCAATGTGTATTCCATCCCATCTAAGGAGCATCTTATAATGCAAATTCTGTAGATTACTTCTAGCTATGTTTCATCTCAGTCTCTTTGCCACTAGCATACAAGAGTTGGTAAATTCTTTGAACAAACCCTTCATGGAATTTTTCACATAGGCTGCTGTCCTACTAGGTAAAGTGAAAATCTCTCTCAAAGGGAGACCTGGAGGAGGAGGAAGAAGAAAAATGTCTCTCCAGAGTCCATCCTACTTACCAATCAAATGTTCTTACAAAGGAAACCTCATCTCAATTTGAGAATCTCATTCCTCTGACCCACCACAACTGGAAAAAAAAAACCTTCCAGTAGACAACTCCATCTCAGCCCCACCTCCTGCAGGAAAAGTCAGTTGAGTTTGCTCCTCAGTCCAGACTCGTAATTTAACATGTGATGTATTACCTTTACGGCATCAGGCCATTTATCAATAATCAGCTAATGAGAAAGAGTTTTAAACTTATCTCTCTTATACCATTCTTTACTTTTTTATACACACAATTAAGAATCTATGAATAACATGCCTTTTGGTCACCGAATTATTCCTAACCTGTTCTTCAAGTTGTTGCTCCAAGTTTTGAATAATGTCATCTTTCTCCTGTACCAGAGTCTCCAGATCTTGACACCTCTTATACAACCTGGTCTCCGATTCGCTAGTCTGAACATTAGCTGCTTTTAATTTCTCTTCCATAATCTGCACCTGTTCAGCAGGTGAAACACAACACCCTAAGTAACTTTAATCATTTAATCATAAAAGTCATAATAAAATTTACCATACATTAAAGGCTCAACCCAGTGCTGCGAAGTGCTAAAATAGATCAGAGATGAGAGCATTTTGTAGATCATACTTGATCTTTAGTCAATAGTACTGCGAGGGCACTGCTAACACATAGAGGTTTTGTTAACATCAGTTCTAACTTCTGCTTCCATAACAAATAAAACTATTAGAGATAGTAAAAGGGGAAGAATATGATGACTATCTTGGAAACACTTACCTCCCTCATCTGACTGTTATGAGGCTTAATAAATAAAGGTCTGTGAAGTCTTTTGAAAGTCTTGCTTAAACACAGCACACATGAAAATAATTAGTATTATTTTATTAAAATTATGACTCTTATAAAGATCGTGCTCATAGTCAATGAATGCATTCTGATCCAAGTCACCAAGATCCTGAATGAGAAAACACTCAGAACATGTTTAAATACATTCCAAATCAAGAAAGCACTAACCATGTGCTTAGAGTTACACATAAACTGAGATGCTTTCTTGAACTGAGGCCAGAGACCATAGCCAGGATTTTTGTCTAATTTTCAGGGTTATTGCTTAAACGGTTCTTGGATTATATGCTCTTTTAGGCGTAGAGACTGTCTTCCTCTGTTTCTGTAAACACCTGGCACAATGTGGCCGCATTTTTGATTGAGGCCTTTGGGTGCTTCTGTGGCATAAAAAATATTAATGCTAAATTCACTCAAATATCAAAATGGGAAAGAAATAATTGTGGTATATATAGCCTTTTAAGGCTTGACTACAGAGCATAGTACAGGACCTATCTTTGCTCCACAGAAAACATTCCTGAGTCAGATGTTTAGTGTTTATACTAATTTATAAACAAAGAGAAACAATTTACAAACCCCAACTGCAGAACATGCCCACTTTCAGCAGATCACTGTGTTCAGCCTTGAAATGCTCTTCCCACTGCTCATATAAACATAATTCAAATTCTAGCATGTGAGAGAGGAGCTGAACTTGGGCAACAGACACTTTTCACCAAAGAAAATGAAACCATAAATCCTTTCAGCACTGTTAAAGAGAAAAGACAGCACTCACTATCAATGAATCATTAATATATATGTACAGACAGACTAGCAAAGACCAGGAAACAGTGATTCATGCTGCTCCCAATTAACAATTCCTGTGTGCTTTTAAACTGATTTTTTTTTTAATCAGTAAAGCAAATTGGGAGATTCATTAGTGGAGTATAACAAATTGAAGCTGAGAACATACAGCTTCTGTGCAAACCAAGGGCTTGGTCTTGCAATGCAATGGAATACCCTCAACTCCCACTAAGTTCAATGGACGTTGATGGTCTCGGCAAAGCTGACAGGAAGTGGCTTCACCTTGTAGCTCAGACTCCTACTATTTTGTTTGAGGAGATCTATGCATGTATTTGAATTACTGCAACAATGAATGCATGCATTCCATATGAAGTGATTTTTTTATGCTTTTACACTTTATATTACGAATGATTTCATTTAATTTTTGAGGCACATTCTTATATAGCATTGTTTGGGTTTCCATCAGGGACACTGGTTTTAGTCAATAAAACATCTTCATTTTGGGACAGCAAAGACAACCTAAATTTAATATGTGTGGACTACTTAATCCCATGGACTACCAAAACTTTAAAAGAGGGCTCAATTGGAGAATTCTCCTAATTAGTGATGGTACTTTTACTTGAGAATATGGCTCTAAGGCACAAATATGTTAATTTTATATTTTTATGGTTTTGCTACTGTCAGGACTGTTTTCTCTCCCTTTTGTTTACATGTTAGTTTTACATTTGCATCACTTATCAAAAGCTAGAAAAAGATACAGAAGAAAAATACTATACAAAGAGATTCAAGACATGCACTTAATATTTGTTTTGATAGGTATGACTATATGTTAAGACAGACCCATAACTGGGTGGCAAACCAAGATGTTACAACATCTATTAGGAAACATCTACAGTAGGACATATAGTAATATTGCTGAGTCACCTTTGCTAACATTGCTCTAATACACCATCCAACAATAGCTATCAGACATACTGTACTTCTTCAATTTAAATGTACCTGCTGAAAAGCTCTCTCTGCTTGACGATCTGCATCAATAACTTGTCTCTCAAGTTGTTGCATCTGTATATACATATAAAACAGCATGTCATAAAATGTGCACTCCTTTTATAAGCTGCCACCAAAAGCTCCATAATGTAAGATAATTTCATATCCTATTTAGAACAAAAAATCTAATATGACCTAAAAAAATAAAACAAGTAAAAGTTAGGACAAGTTGCATTTGAGACTGGGGAAATAATCAATACATGAGGATGATATCAAAATATTACTGAGGTTCTGCTAAAGTAGGGAAATTCAGTAAAAATTATCTTTATAATAGACCCTTGTGGCTAACTTCTGTACCATAATGGCTCTTCCCTGCTACCATGTAGGATAAATGGTTTTGATAGTTATCCTTAGACCATTAGCTCTTTTCTGTTCTTGATGCCCAACCCTGCAAAGTGCTGAGCTCTCTTAGCTCCTATTGACATTAATAAGAGTCAAGGGTACTTCGCACACTGCAGAATCAGGTCCCTAGTTCCTAGTAAAGTTGAAAACTCAGTCCTCCAGAAGGACTGTACTGGATGCAACATTCAAGCATCTATGCAACATTTAAACACCATCTGACCGAGGGAGCAAAATGGACACCAGAAAAATCTGTGACCTACTACAAGATAGTAGTCAGGTACTGCAAAGAAAAGTCTATTAATAACTGTGCTGAAATATTATTTTTGCTAGAATCCTTCTAGCATTGTTTTCCTGATATAGGAATTTTTTTTCTGAGAACCAATTTATAAAAACAGGCGAGAGAGTACCTGGGAAGACAAATACTTTTCAGCATGGTTTCAGGAGCTTGCTTCTGCAGAAATATTAAACTGTTATTCCAACTGGTTGTCACTAGGACAGATGTGAGCCACATGTGGACATGGACTAAAGGTCACGCATTGATCACATAGACCACTGTTCCTATATCATAGGTCACAGTCAAATATTTATGAGAATAATACCCAACCTCAGAATTATGACTTGAAAAGACTCGTATACAAGTGCTAAATATTTGAAGAAGGGTTTATTCTTCCTACAGACAATGTCACTGTGTCTTGCTGGTACTCTACTTCTCTCATTTTCCAGATTCTTGGCTTTTTCAGATGTCAATCCATACTACCAGTAACAGTTTTGTGTAGTTTCAGTACTTCACCCAGACAAGAACACACAGTTGTCACTTGCTGTCAATCAAAAGACAGGGAAATGAGAGAAGAGAAAGTTCGTACTAAACAAAGAAAAGCTGTCATTAACCTCTTAATATCTCTCCATTTTAATAATATGGAAACCTAAACGTCACACAACAGCATGTAATTTGAATTAAGGATTATAAACATAGTACAGTGCAAATAACCATCACTGTGCTCCCCCATAGGCTCTTTTGAAGGAACAGGATTAAGGAAATGATAGTTCTATTCATGCACTAAACATTTAGACAGAGAGGTGAGGAGTTAAATACCCATTTGGAACAAATTGTGTTCCTTTTTGTCTGTGTAATTAAAACCAAAACCAAAACCCTGTTTGTCATTAATCTTGAGTTTTTTATCACTGGGTTTTAAGTTTTATAATTTTGTATCCTAAATTTACTTTTCAGAGTTGTGGTTTTAGATTGTCTATTGAAGTATGAAATTAGGTTACAAAGCTTGCTTTAATAGGGCTGTTTAACATTTGCTTTTTTAGTAAATTTGTAGCGAGGATTAATTTGTATGTTTGAGTATACTGATAGCTAACATCATGCACTACACTAACCTTACAGTGATGACACACATTACATTGCATAGTAATGAACATGGAATAAACATTTAATTAACATTCTATGGCAGTATGATAGAAAAATCTTTTAAGTATTCATAATGTGGCTTTACTTTAGATGAGTGGCAAACTGTCCAGAGTTTTCAACAACCCAAATAACTTGTAAACATAGGTGGAATGCCAGTGTCAGTGTTTTGTGAACCACTAATAGATATACCATAAGTAGAGGTTCCAATTTGAGCTTTAAACTAATTTTTACCAGAAAGAACCAGCCAAAAAGACGACACACATACCTACTAATTTATATATGGAAATAAAACCTGGAAGTTTTGCTTGCCAGTCCCAATCACGCATCTCAACTGTCCTTCATTACAAGGAAATACCTCATTAAATGACATCCATGCCACACAAACCTGGCATGATCTCCAGGGCCGGCTCCAGGCACCAGCGAAGGAAGCAGGTGCTTGGGGCGGCCAATGGAAAGGGGCGGCACGTCCAGGTCTTTGGCAGCAATTCGGCAGTAGGTCCCCCAGTCCCTCTCTTCCTCTTAGAGCTGCCGCTGAAGTGCCGCCAAAGAGGAAGAGAGGGAGCGAAGGACCCGCCGCTGAATTGCTGCCGAAGAATGAAGCGGCACGATTGAGCTCCCGCCGAAGTGCCGCTGATCGGCTTTATTTTTTATTTTTTTAATGTTTCGCTTCACCGTTTGGGGCGGTAAAAAAGCTGGAGCCGGCCCTGATGATCTCACTTTATCCTTTTGTAAATTATTCCTATCACAAATGCAAATTCATGTGATGTCATAAGAAATGTTTGTGATCAAACTAATCCCACATCATTTTGAGCTTCCTGTTTTATTATTTTTGTATCCCAGCTTGAGTTTGTGTCCTACATTTGGAAGTTGGCAGGAACATATCAAATCAACATAACAGATTTTCTATGTCCTCTTCCTTCATAGGATAGCTACAGCTGGGGAAGAAGGAGCCAACATTTCACAACAAGTTGAGCTGTCTGATCACTTAGCCAGCCTTTGGCTTACCACCATTCCTGTCTAGGAAACTGACAGACCAGAACAAACACATTGCATATAGTCTAAGCTTCAAACCCCCTAAGTCATACTGAGCTTTGCAGGTTCAAATTTATTTCTTGAAGAAACTCCCACTCAACTTCTCAGAAAATAAAAGGCCTCAAGCCCTGTAAACAAAACACAGCCTCCTTAGCCAATGTCTAATAATGGTAACATTATGCAAACAGCTAGACAATAGCACTGCTCTTCTGCACAGCACTTTGAGTTTTGTATAATACCATGAAATATAGGAATTATTCCCACACCTCCATGCTGTTTCCAAGCATCTGTAACACTATGCAGTGCTGGCGAGAGGACTATAAATACCTAGACAGAAGTTAGTGACATGAATAACATTACTTGAATAAAAGCTTTAGGTGTTGTTAAACTAAAAATAACCTAAGGGAAATGACCTGACAAACAAATTTACCGAGCAAAATAGTATTGAAAGGGTTAAGAATGTAATACTGTGATTAATATTTGCTTTTTGTAGAGCTGACTGAAGAAAATATGCTAAGTAGTTTTGCATGAGCTCACAATATGGATAAGTCAGCCAGCTTTCTGGCAGCAACTACACTTTGTTCTTGTAATTTGGGAACTTTCTGAAGACTCCCAAATGTATGTTTGGCTGCTCCTGTGAAATAATATAACAATATATTCTGTACTTGCTGAATAATATACCATAGTAACCAAACTTTAGTAGTTGTTCTATTATATGGAACTGGCTAATGTTTCAATAGTTAAGGGCCAGATACCATTTCCTCAACAAATCCTGATTTTTTTTCCTTCAGGATTTATTGATTTAGGTTTATTTTAGAGTATCTATCCCAAAATTCAGGCATTCATATAACAATTCCAATAATAGTAATATAATAGGTACAATACAAATGCAAAAATTCAAAAGTCACACAAATAATCTGCTCCAATCCAGAATACTGCTTGTCCAAAAAGTAAGAGAGATCCTCACCCGTGCTCTGGACCCTTTACACTGGGTAAAGGGGCCAGAGCCACATAAAGAGGCTCAACCTCTGGATACAGTTGGGATAAAATTCCCCTGGTGCAAGAACTGAGAAGGCACCTCCTCACATGCTCCGGCATAAGGGGTGTATTGGGGGTGAGGTTGCACCATGTAGCACTATGGAGATTCTGAGCAGCGCTGCTGTCCATAGGTAAACAGGGTCAAGCTGTTATAATTTAGGGTATGTCTACACTACGGGATTAATCCGAATTTACAGAATTCGAATTTTGGAAACAGATTGTATAAAGTCGAATGTATGCGGCCACACTAAGCACATTAATTCGGCGGTGTGCGTCCATGTACCGGGGCTAGCGTTGATTTCCAGAGCGTTGCACTCTGGGTAGCTATCCCATAGCTATCCCATAGTTCCCGCAGTCTCCTCTGCCCATTGGAATTCTGGGTTGAGATCCCAATGCCTGATGGGGCCAAAAACATTGTCGTGGGTGGTTCTGGGTACATCCTCCCCCCTCTCCAGGGAAGCAACCGTTTCGCGCCTTTTTCCTGGGTGAACAGTGCAGACGCCATACCACGGCAAGCATGGAGCCCGCTCAGCTCAAGACAGCAGTCATGAACATTGTAAACACCTTGCGCGTTATCGTGCAGTTTATGCTGAACCAGAACCTGCAAAACCAGGCGGCGAGGAGTAGGTTATGGCAGTGCGGCGGCGAGAGTGATGAGGACATGGACATGGAATTCTATCAAATCGCGGGCACCGGTGCTTTGGAGATCATGCTGTTAATGGGACAGGTTATAGCCGTGGAACGCCGATTCTGGGCCCGGGAAACAAGCACAGACTGGTGGGACTGCATAGTGTTGCAGGTGTGGGACGATTCCCAGTGGCTGCGAAACTTTCGCATGCGTAAGGGCACTTTCATGGAACTTTGTGACTTGCTTTCCCCTGCCCTGAAGCGCCAGAATACCAAGATGAGAGCAGCCCTCACAGTTGAGAAGCGAGTGGCGATAGCCCTGTGGAAGCTTGCAACGCCAGACAGCTACCGGTCAGTCAGGAATCAATTTGGAGTGGGCAAATCTACTGTGGGGGCTGCTGTGATGCAAGTAGCCAAAGCAATCACTGAGCTGCTGCTACGAAAGGTAGTGACTCTGGGAAATGTGCAGGTCATAGTGGATGGCTTTGCTGCAATGGGATTCCCTAACTATGGTGGGGCGATAGATGGAACCCATATCCCTATCTTGGCACCGGAGCACCAG